CTAGTTCCGCATTTCAGTATATCTTGTAATTCAGATTATTGTCTTTGTGGCCACACAGACCTATTGTTGTCATCTTTAATACATTTATTACTGTCACCAGTTATACTAAACATGTGCTTATGTATGCCATCTAAGTACATTGAACTTCCCTAAGTGATTTTTCTCCAGGTCTATAATGTGTCACACGCACTGGATGTTGTGATGTCAACATTCTAAAGTGCTCAGTGGATACTTGAAATATTTATTCATATTGCAATTTGTTTGAGAAAAGAATTTCGCTTTTTAACAGTTTATAGGATCTGGATTCCATGATTTTGATTTGCTTATGTCCCCTCCAGGGATTTCTGGATCATTGTAGAAAACAGAAAACATTTGCATTAATATATTGTCCCTGTTTTAACTTGTACAGTCCATAAAAAGTTGTTTAGTGTTACAACACATTACTTTATGAACCTATTCTTAAAATGAAGTGCATTCTTGTGTTTTTGGATTTTTGAAATATTTTAGCAACAATTCTTAAAGAATTGTTCATGAGTAGTTAGAAGTGTTTTGGCAGAAATTTACATTGATTAATGAGCAATATGATAATAATATGGAGTCCAGTTTTTCTACATGAATTATATAACTAGTTATGATATATGATAGTAAGACATGATATAGCTCCTGCAGTAATAGGGCTGTTGTGTTATTTTGATTGGGTGATATCCTATATGATATGACGCATGGCCTTCTTTTGAATTTGCTTGCATTTGTTACTTGAATTAATTCGAGAAAACTGGTTGTTGACAATGAAAGGTTTATGTAAGAGTATACTAGATCTGCTTTGTGATATAGCTACTTGACATTACTTATATTATTTCCGAGACTTGCATAGTAAATCAAGGACTCTACTTGGAATTCTCAAGTTTATGTTTTATCACCCTGTTATATTTACATACAGTATAAGAATCTGTAACTGAAGTACTTTCTGCGTTATGGGTCTGGATGGAGTCATGATACATTTCAAAAATAATATTTCCAATATCACAACACAAATTTGAGCAGGATGACAAAATTTCAAGTTCATGGTTCAGTATCAAAAATAGTATCAAAAATAAAACCTCAAAATCGAACAAAAGTGTAGTAAATAAAGAGAATGGAGGTCAATATGAACTAGAAAATGGCCCAATTCCCTCAACGTTACACCCCCAAAGCGCATTCAATAAAATGATGCTTTGGAAGATTTTGATAGTAAAAGACTCCACAAATGGTGCTTATTTACCTTGCTATCTTGTTTATTGGCTTATAAAGGTATCTCCTTACCCCCTGGGATTTGACTTATCTGGACTATTAATGGTTTATGTCTGAATTGAATGAACTATGGCTATCATCAGCTCAGGAATGGAATGCTCATCAATATCAGATGATTGATGCATCATTTCCATAACTCTTAGGGAATCGAAATTAATTTCATAAGCCTCATCTTTGGCTTCAACTTGAGTGTTTTTCATTGAGGCATCTGAGATAATGATAAAATTCATTTTAACATTGGAGGACTGGCTTCTTTAGCATACTACCAATATCAGTTTTAATTGAGATATCTCTATTTTTACTATGTTCAAGGGAGTCTAAGATCCCATGATGACAAATGGATCTTGTTTAACATAACATTAGCAGTCACCCCTATAGATTATTGCCATTGATCCTAATCCTCATATCCTTACACAACAAAATGTCTTTGTAAAAGAACAGATAGGTGCCTGATTTATGATAATGTTAGAGAATGATAGCTTGTTTCGAGATAACAATTGTCCCTAGGGTGAGGATAAACTAAGCATATATGAAACCACTAAGAAATATATAACACCAATAAAATATGCCTTAATCAGGACCATAATATGATGGTTTAACTGTGTCAGTTACCATTTTTTAGAATGAGTATTGAGATTTTCATGATGTTTTCATGTTCATGGAAAATGCTGACAGCTCAAGGGTGGGCGATTGATTAGAAACTGTTTTATATCAAAACTATTCTCTAACTTTTCTTATATTCAACATTTTACAGCTGTGTTTACCTGGGCTACTTTGACCTAGTTTATCAAATAACATTTTGATTGGTGAATTAGTATAAAAAAGATGATTGATTGCGTCAATTGACACGTTTTGTTATCAATAAACTCTGATAGATGTTTTGCATCCCTGTATTGAAACTTGAATTTCCTAAAAACCAGACAGGTTTGTAAATACTATAAAACTCAAAGAATTTCCATATTATAATCCCAGGCTTTATAAAACACTTGGGGCCATAAAAGTTTACGAGGAAATGTAATTAATATATTTGAATGTTACAGTGAATTTTGACTTTTTCGGTCAAACTAAGTTCACATATAAATCTGACAATAATTCTAGAGTAATTTTATGTCTAAGAGGTTAATCCTGTTGTTTCATTTTCTTCAGCACCATTTTAATACCCTTTGAATTGCGATGTATGTTATATAACTGAACTAATGAAGAAAAAAAATTCCAGTTGAAGCCTGTTCAACTGCCTTGGTCAGGTCTAGTCAGACAGTTCTTTAGACGTTTAAAGTTAGATTGCAATCTGTTTCTTTAATACAGGACGGATTAACACTTTTGGTACAAAGATTCTCAAGTAAATGCCAGGTTTATATACCATGTCAAAATATTATCATTTCGTAAAGTAAGACCATATGATGATATGAGTATGTGAAAAAAACATCTCAATGTAACTTTTGTTCACAGTATTTAGGATTCACTTTGGGCTATTGGTCTGTCGAAGAATCAGAAAATTTCACAGAGTAACATAATATTTTACATGTGGTTACAAATCCTGAAGACGGGATTGTTTAAAATGGCTCTCATCTTTAGACCATCTTTATCTATCAAGGTCTAATTTACAAAAAAACGTTAGCATCAGTTGAGTAAACAAACATTATTTTGTGATATTCCCAAAAACAAAGGTATCATGTCAATCTTAAATTATAGTTATGTGATACAAACATCAATATAATATGTATCTATGAATAGTGTTGGTCGTGACTTTCTAAGACAAGAAAAAATAGTTGACACTACTAATTGGATTCATGACACACCACATATCTGTTTGACAAAAAACATAACATGTGAATCCTTGGGAAGTGGAAAATGAATGGTTGTATCATTACTGGAATAGCGTATTATCTTTAGAGTGGTCAATGGGTACAAGGCATCACTCAATACTTTGTTAATTGTATAAATAGTGAAAGGCTTTCATAATTGTAATAATAACAGATTTACTGGCTGTATTCATTAGATTTAACAGTAGTAGAATAGCATCGAGTACTATGACGTTAGGTATCTAGTATTTTCATAGTTAATGCTAAGTTTAGCTCTCCCCTAGAGTTGGATTAGTTGACAGATTTAGTACAAACTTTGTATATATTTATTGCTCAGGTTAGATAATTCATTGAAATGTTTCAAGTTCCTGTTGCCTTTCTAACCTCTAATTGTTAGTAGAACTATTTTGCAATGGCATTTTGCTGTATTATCATTCCTAGTCTTGCTTCATTCCCTTGTGACCTGCCTCTAACAAACCTCATTTCAATGTTAGTTCAGGAGGGAAGGAGAGAGACTTGAAACAAGACTATGTCTTTCGGTCATATTCCATGAAAAATTACAAGGGGCAACAATTCATTGAACACCTTAACAACCGAAGAGCTAGTATTACATGTTCAACATCAATCTATTTCCCAACCCAGAGATAAATCAAGAAATGTGAAGGGGCAACATTGGCACAAGGCAGAACTATCATCTCACTTCTTTTCATTTTTATGTAACTACCAAAAAGTGTTGATATATTGTTATGGTCTCCATTTTTTGTGACGTTGGTTGGCAATTAATGGTTTCTGATCGGCGATCAGGGGTAGGTGATTGGCGATCGGCGGTTGGTGTCTGTAACAAATGGTGGTGACATTTTGCATGGTAATGCCTTTTTTAATGGTGGCTTCTCTTTGGTTGGAGTTCCAGTTCATCCAGTGCAACTTCTGGTTCACTCACAATTTATCAGATCATCCAAAATGTGGCTTTCTTTCAAATGCAATCATGTATTATAGCATTCACTCATGGGGTGTAACAAATTCATTAAAGGTGTATATACCTCAGAACAAACTTTGCTCTGGTAGTCAATGAATGCAAATATTTAGCAACCATATTCTGCAGTCTTTGGCTCTAGCCCAACTACTTGGTCAAAACTATGAAGTAGTTTGCTCTTAGTGTTACGCATAGTCTGAGTAGTATGTTATTTCATTCCTACGATGTTCATTTGGAAAAATTATTTGAGTCATGCAATTATGGGGCAACAAAGGGCAACAAAGGGCAACATTCAATTTACATTTATAAAACTCAGTAAATGGGAAAAAATTCTTAGATGGATGATTAAAGATCAAAGAATTATCTGTTATTCAAAGAGAGTGGATGAATCTTTCTTATTAAAGATGTAAAATCTTGAAAGACTCACTCTTGAAAAGGATAACCTAGATATTCAACCTAAATTTACAGGTCATAATAACCTGAAAATTAATCTTGGTGGGGTATTATATTTGAGGTTGGCTCCTTCTTGCTGGGAAATTAAATGAAACATTTTTGAAAATTTGGATGTGGTAAAAAGCAGGTTAACCTTGATCATGATCGCTGACTTGCGGAAACTCCACCATATCAAAATATTTCAAGCTGTTCGTAGTTTTTTTATAATTTCGTTGTTTTAATTGATACTTCTTACCAAATGTTGTCATATCAACTGTTTTTTTTTTAATTTTAATATTTTGGATTTTGTTTCATGTTTGTGTTTAATATTATACGTCAGATTGGATTTAAGTAATTCATATTTATAGGCCAACGTCAAGTCATGCAGATCTTAAATACATTAGATCATCTCAAAACAAATAGTAAGAAAATTGTATTTTTGTGTGATCCACAGTTCAAAGAATGATCCAGGATTGGTAATGAAAATCTTAAAATGTTTTTTGCTTTCATGTTCTATGTTATCTGCATATCATGAAATTGTTTGCATACACAAACATTAACATATTTTGATTGGTTCAAAGTGTTGTGCTTGGGTGCAGACAAGTTACCATGGTAACATATCTGAGAGACTTGTTATCCAACTAAGTATTTTAACACACATGTTGATGACAAGAAGGTTATCAACAGGAGCAAGGTTTTTGTGTGAAACTCTCAGTGCAAAACCTGAGTGTACCAGATTGTATTTCCTAAAGGAAAAGTTGTATCCTTTGGGTATATAAGATTGATATATAGTCATAGGTTGAAGATACTGTTTTCTTTCTTTATTGATGATGTGATGGTTGATTTCTTTGTACCCTATGATCTGTTGGTGTAATGGTTGACTTCTTTGTACCTTATGATCTGTTGGTGTTATGGTTGACTTCTTTGTACCTTATGATCTGTTGGTGTCTCTTGAAAGCCCATGGTACTACATGCACATGTAGTTGGGTTCTTTGTGCACAATGATCTTATGGTGTAATCATTGATTTCTTTGTAGCTTATGATATGTTTGTATTTGTTGCTTTCTTTGTGCACAATGATCTTATGGTGTAATCGTTGATTTCTTTGTAGCTTATGATATGTTTGTATTTGTTGCTTTCTTTGTGCACAATGATCTTATGAGGTAATCGTTGATTTCTTTGTAGCGTATGATATGTTTGTATTTGTTGCTTTCTTTGTGCACAATGATCTTATGAGGTAATCGTTGATTTCTTTGTAGCTTATGATATGTTTGTATTTGTTGCTTTCTTTGTGCACAATGATCTTATGAGGTAATCGTTGATTTCTTTGTAGCTTATGATATGTTTGTATTTGTTGCTTTCTTTGTGCACTGATCTGATGATGGAATTGTTGATATGTAGGTTCAAAGTAGAATCATTGTGAAAGTATATAACATTGATGTTCCAATACTTCCAGACTGCATGTCTAAATTGTATGATTTCATTTATCATAGTTGCTGCTTACTGATCAGGATTGTAAACAAACAGTGTTATTTATTTGAATTCTGCAATAAGAATACATTTGTGCATTTCCAGGTACATAATTGATATATTGTTCAGGACCAAGTTCAAGGATTAGACTGAAATATAATTGTCTCAATATATAAGTACGCAATCCAGTTTCATCTGGTGAACTTGTAAATTAATTTACCTGCCTGAAAGAAATGTCTACATGGTGTAAACAGCATCTACTTTGAACAATTTCCCTAAACATCCTACTTATTTCATTAAGTAATACATTATCACCATCATTGCTGGCATTTAACAGCAATGATGCAACCATTGTTTCTGTAAGATAACTCAAGTGCAACATACAGTTTACAAATGATCTAACTTAAAAGAAATAAAGAATTTACTTCATTTCCTAGTCTAAACAAATTACTAGCAGATTTCTTAGATCATCAAGTGTCTAATGCAGCAACAGCAACAACCTGAGTAAGTATGTCAAACTGATGAGTAGTTGTGGCATACTGCTCCCATTTATTTTAGTCAGTATTACATGTTGTCCTGATGTTGACCTTTGTTGTTTGTTGCTGCATATGTTCTTTGCCCAAGTGGGTCATCACTATGATTCTTGGCTATGTATGACCTATATTATAGATATATATTTGCAGTCGTGCCCTATTTAAATATTATTTTCCATTTTAGTCTGTGCTCTATTTAAAGATTATTTTTTCCATTTTAGTCAGTGTTCTATTTAAAGATTATTTTTCTATTTTAGTTCATTTAATTGAAAATAGTCTCATCTTTGACAATAAAGCTCAAAAAGCAACATTTGGGAACCATAATATTGCAATTATATTTCTGGTATACATATGTTAGAAGATTTCAGTTATGATGTTCACCTTTGAATTATTATGTCCCAGGTTAGATGGTGCATAAAGCATGGATGTAGATAAACCCACAACATACTGTGTTTGTTATATCTCAAGACAAACCTCCTTGAGGCCCCTAGTATTTTCTTCATAGGAGATGGCTCCCTTTGCTCATCTTTGCTATATGATAGCCATGTTTTGGACAGGGGTAATGGATTGTGAAATAAAAACAAGGAATCTGCTTCCCTGGTCTACTTGACGCAATTAAACCTGTTGATTCAACAGATAATTATCTAGCTGACTTTGGGACTTAACATTTCACTGATACCATGTTATTTTAAATTGTCTTCAACTTTTAAGAAGATATCCTTGTCATGTTCAATCTCTGGTGATCGTGTATCTTTATTTTAGTGTTTCGCTACTTTATATGGATTACACGTGTGGCAATGTGTCTTGTTTGATGTTGTACATGTTTGTTTCCCTGTGTTGCTCCTCCATGTTTTATGATTGTATTTACGAGGGGTGATCCAAAAGTCTTGGACGCCCTGCTCTAATTTTGTTGGTTTTTGATAAAATTACTTTAAACTTTCCAATAATAAAGACAAACAACCTAACTACTTTGTGTATTAATTTCATGGTGAAATGATATATTTTATGTAGTTTTCTAGATAGTTTTTAATATAGGGACCCTGCTACCCGGAACGGTATTTGTACATGGCAACTTTCAGCCTTAAATGTTGCTGCCATATGACTTGTTTCACAAGTTTTAACCACTACCTTTCTTTGGATTTTGAATATTTAACCATGTTAGTTTACTTCCTTTGTTACCAGGCAACCAATTAATTGTATTTTAATTATAATGCCACATATGACAATGCCCGTATATGGCAAATTCTAAAAAAATGACATCAGACAAGCAACCCTCATTCTGGTATCATTTTTGCTCCAAGATGGCTGCTTAAATGCAGAACATGAAAGAAATCAAAGTGAAACAAAGAATACTACAAAATATTCTCACTATTATTGACCTTGAGCAGCTCCCATCTGCGCGATACAGTCTAGATATGGCTCGGTGTGATTTTCTTCCTTTTCCGAAGTTGAAAGGAGGGTTCAAAGAAAATGTTTTTTACTCATTGAATGAGGTTTAGATTGGCACTCAAGGAGCATTTGTATCACATAAGCAATGCCGGTTTCATAAATGTCTTCCATTCATGGGTAAAGCGGCACAAAAAATGTGTTCAAATTCATGGAAAATATGTTAAAAAGTATATCTTAATATGTGAAGATGATGGTGGCAGATGAAACTCAGATTGAAAAATCGGAAATTCTCTCATATCATGACTGGTGTTAGGTTGTGCACCTGCACCTTGAGTATTTTCCATATTATAACAGTTGTGGCGTAATTTGCTATATTTAAATACCGTTCCGGGTGGCAGGGACCCGATATCAAAAAATATTTAAAAAAGTACCTAAAATGTATTATTTTATGGTGAAAGTTATACACAATGTTGTTAAGATGTTGATCTTTATTATCTGAAAGTTTCATGTAATTATATTGGAAAATAGCAAAGTTAGAGCGGGGCGTCCAAGACTTTTGGATCACCCCTCGTACATGTAATCAGATCTGTGCTTTAACTCTTTCCCATATTTTGATTTCACTTTTTTGAAGAGAACTTCGTCTTCTAGGCTTTGGTCTTCAGGTAGTCAATGATCTTATGTGAATGTAGAACATCAGCATGATTTTTAGTTATTTATTATTCAACTTGGACAAAAAACTTTGAGTTTCATAAATACTAAGTTCATCATATTAGAAAAAATCTCTGAAAATTCCTGAATGTTTGGTCCTGAGATATGCACATAGGCAGGAAAAATATGTTTATAAAATATATCAAAAATGAAATAAAAAAAATATATAGGAAAAAGACTGCGATTAATCCGGTTGTTTATGATATAACTGTATCATAAATAAGAAAATTATTCAAAATTCACCTGCTACTCATTTCAGCATTTCCTTTAGTTTATGGTTCATAATTGTTCCTAATATTAGTGTTCAGCTGGTTATACTGTAATGAATTACACTTGCGATGATATACACTGTCTCAATATGTAAAGCATAAATAGTCTGTTATGCAAGTTTGTCTGTTCATATGAACTTCCAGCCTTGAACTGTCAATATGTTAAAATAACAGAGCGTGAGGTTTGTCGCTTGTGTGAAGTTGATATATTTTTGGGATTGAATATTGCCGTATGAGTCGTAAAGAATGCCCATTTTGATTTAACAGTCCCCTTTAATACTTATGAGAGAACATATTTTATCCAGGGATACTAGAGGTCCACAATGAAGAGATCTAGTTCCTACCAAATAGAAATCTCAAAATAGATCTATGTGAGATGTTCAAATTGATTTGGTATCTGCTCAAGTGCTCATGGTTGATATCACTGATGGACGATCATGTATTTTCAAAACACTCTTTAAGTGCGATGTTTTAAATACACTAGTAGTTGTAAGTACTATCTTCATATACACAGAATACCAAGTTTACTCTTCTACATCTTTGGCACTTTTAATTTTATATTGGTCAAGGGGGTTAATACATTTAAGTCAAGTATGACCACGGTCTTGAATTATGTTACATGTGTTTATGAAATATCTATCCTTCTTTATAAGTTGCCACATTACCTGGGCTATTTTTATGAGGCTAATGGGGCACATTTTACATAAAATTAAACATGAAAAAGGTATTCCATATTTAATGAATCAGAATCAAGGTCATAATGATATCCAGTAGTTCTAAAAATGTCATCTCTCCTTGTACTTTTGTTTCAAGTGTAAACACATTGCTGCACCTGCCTTCAAACCAACCTGATGGTTTTACGAAATATATGAAACACAAGTGAAAGTTAGAAAAGAAGATTTAGCAATGAAAACAGACTAATCAGAATGAGTTATAATCCAAGCAGTTTCAAGATTAACACATGGTTAGTGGGAGTGTACTGCTTTGAATTAAACATCATATAAATTGCTCTTCCTCAGATAAGCTACATCTTATTTCACTTTATAGTGTGCTCATTGACGGCATCGCCCTATTGCCATTGATAAAAAACATAATTCTGGCAGGCACTAGGCCAAAGCCAGAAGGTCTTAGCGAGTCTCCCTTATTGGACTATGTGTGGGCTTGTTAGCGGAATTTCTGATATTGGGTCTGTTACGTAGACTTGTTTCTAGAATCAGCTGGAGTTCATTTTCCCTTCATAATATTCCACGATGTTCACAAAATGCCACAGTTTTATATTTTACTTCAAATGCAATATGAAAGTCATGAAATCTATGGTTCTGTTTCTTTCAATTAGTTATAAGATGATACTTTTGTGGTTTTACTTAAAAATCTTGACCAGTTTCTTTTCTTGTACAAAGGGCATGTTTGTTGATTCCTCTAAACTTGAAGACATATCTTGATTTGAGTGCACATTATGTGGAATCATTCAAAGCAAGTTAACCTAGGGTGGCATTTGTGGCGAGATTGTGGTCAGGGTATTTGCTTGGAGTGGCTGTACTCCTCCATACCAAAATAACACTCTGTCCAGTATTTCACTCCATTTCCTATGAAAATTTTGAGAAATTTTCGCTCATTTGTTTTTTTTGGTGTGTGTATATCTGATTTGAGTTTTTAGAATTTTCTTACTTTTTGTCACTGTATGTTGCATCGGAATTGACCAGTTATATAATGGTATATTGAGTCAAAATTTATCAGTTGAATTTTTGAAACAGTTCTCATATCAGGCTTTATCACTGGATATAAATGATGTTTCTTTGAGGAGTTTTTGATGGTAGTTTGATGAGTGTATGTTTTCTGGTCAACTCTACCTGACCGCACATTGATAAAAAATGTTGAACACAGATTCTTATAGAATGCATGGTTCTTATAAAAAGGTTAATCCTCTTTTCTCAATGGAAGGTGTCACTCCACTAAATCTAAGGTGTCACTCCACTAAATCTAAGGTGTCACTTCACTAAATCTAAGGTGCCACTCCATCATTTGTGATCATCTATCCAGATGTCATTCAATCGATTCTAGAGTAAGACGTACTGAGTTCTGTACTTTCTTTGGAAAGAAATACCATAGACAAGTCAACATGAAGATAACATGAGATGAAGGGGATATTTTAGTGTGGTCTCAAAACAAGTCTGATTGTCTAATCTAGATTTGTTAATTGTATCTGTTTGTGCTATCAGTAGAGGCAATGATTATTGCTTCAGTTGTTGTTGTGTCCTCACCAGCTGATGGCGGGTCACAGAGTTCGGTGTTTGGTGTTGTTGATCTGGCCTGAACTGACCCTTATTGAGATATATCCTCAATGACCTCTGAAAGGTAAAGTATATAACTAACAGTGTTATACCCTTTTGTATCTGCTGACCAGCACATCTGTTTTTACTGTAGCAATCAACTGGGAATTTCTGTACTTCCTGTCCAGTTTCTGTCAGATCAGTTGTACCTTGAATGGAGTTAGTTTAAGATTTATTCATTGTATCTTCTGATTTTTGCTAACTATACTGAAAGTATTTGTATTATTCACATGAGCTTAGTCCTTTTTTGGACTCACTTGTGATCACCATGCTTTATTTATTTTTTTTAATTGGTATATTTATGGTACAAATTAAATTCAGTATATCCTGTATATTATGACTTCTTCATTTGGTCTTGCTTTTCGACATAACTTGGTGTTGAATTTTCTTCAAAATATTTCTCCAGACTTCTTAAATTAACAAGTCTGTTTTTCGGCTATGTAATTATTTCCGTCTTCAAATGTGTTAATAATGTCTAGCTGAATAGGGAGTGGATCAGTATGCTTGTCATCACCGTTTCTGTCTTCTAAATCATCCCCAAGGAACTGAATTAACCACTCTATTGTTGGGGCTGTCATCTACCCATTGTGGGATCCACAGTCTTTTTCTATCCATTGTGTCTCACAAGCTTTAGAGAGAGAGAAACTGCGATAAATCAGAATGTCATTTACCCTTTTACTGATTTTACTGATAGAGAAAGCCTTATATTCTAGCTATGGTCAGTTCCAAGGCAGATAGCCTTATCAAAATTGTCTTTTATACATATATTTATAAATCATACTGTACAGTATAATATCCATATCATTTACTGTTTTCTAATGTTTTTGCCAGGTTGATTAGATATGGGTTGTTGGATTGATATATCTTAATGTAATTAAATACATTTTTTGAAATGTTCCGCTTGTGTTTTAGATTGAATTTATGAGATAGTATACACGTTCATAAGTTTACTCTGCTGAATGATCAAAGTTTTCCTGAGGTGAATATAGGTATAGCTCTATTTGAGGCTGACAGTTTATTGTTTTTAAAGATGTTTATTGCTAAAGGTGTGAAGTTATTTGACCAGTTGTGCTTCTGCTAATGGTTTTATTTCCTTTACATGATTAGTTCATGTTGAATTTATGTAGTCTTGGAATATTTCTTTTTTAGAATTTGAAGCAGAAATTGAATATTTTTACATTATATAGAAATTCTTTTTTAAGGTAAACTTATGTATCTGATTTCTAAATAAGATGCCTTCTGAAATATTTGTTATTGCTCTGAAGGTGGTCAACCGTTTCATCAACTTGTTTCACAAAATAACCACATTGACATTAACTTTCTAACATTTGTTGACCCAAAAGATGAACTAGTCATAAAATGTCAAAAAGGTGAAATCTTATGAATATATATTGCATTCACTGTAGAGTTCTTATATTTTATATTTTATTTCTGCTGAGATTAAGGGAATTCTTGCATTATTTTAGCTATTAATAGGGTAACTCAACTAAATGCCTATTTCAAGACAAAAGAAAATTCATGAAGTATCCTTTTGTCTTAATATAAACATTGTTCAGATTATTATGTAAGCTCTTCGGGTAGCACCACCTGATCATTCTATCTCACTTCAAAGGTAATACAAGTTGTTAAAGCTATAATTGTTGCTTATATATAAATACCGTAAAATGTTACCAGGTCAAACTCAGTTTTTGCAGAAGTACTTTGGTATCCAGTAACAGGTTATGTATCAATACCTGCTGAAGCCTTCTGTAAGACTACAGTTTACTGTAATTTCTGTAATGCAATAAGGTAGCTTTCATAAAGTCATGCATTTTGTATGTTTTAGCCCATCTTATTGCATACCCATGTTTCAGTTAATGGTTCGATATGATTTGAGCACTTTTTAAAGTATCGTTTAACATATTTTCCTCATGGCAATCAGTAATAACTGCTTTAAAGTATTTTTTCATTCTGGATTAGGTTTTTATTTAACATTTTTAAAATGAAAATTGAGCACACACATACATCTTTATGTCATATATGAAAATTTTCCGTTTGATACATAATCATACATGTTCATATAGCTTATGGTTGTTCTTTAAAACAACATAAAAAACATAAAATGAAGGGAAATTTAAACACTGGATGGTGGTCCTACTCTGATTAATGTCAACCTCTTGAAAAATAACTTTCTAGACTTCTTTTGAAGGCCTTGAAACAAGTGTTGTTATTTTAACATGTTGTACAAATTAAGTATAGATCAGGAACTCTGTTGTTTTAGACAATCTTGATCTGCAAGCCTTTGTAGTTATGTAAAATGATGAAATGACATTAATTGCAATAACAGTTAAGATTTGAAACCAACAAGGCATAAATCCTACAGGATAACATAATCTACCTGAATCTATGTTATAAAGCACAATAGTAGTCCATGTTCATGAACCACAGTAACAATTATTAGACCTTATGATGAATACTGTGAACAGTCATTGTTTCAAGAATTGTTTTTTAAAAATTAACTTTATTCTGTGTTATAAATATCAATACAGTTTGTAAAAAGTACATGTTGCATGGGATTTCTTATGCAATAAAAGAGACTGCATCAGTGGGTTGATGTTTGTCTGTGACACTGGTCATTGCTTGAAGTGGAACCATGAGATTTATATATGTATTCTGTATATTTTCAGATTCCAGTAACAATTCCGCTTGGTCTCCGTTTTACGGAGGAGGTAATGCAAGACTAGATGAGAAATCCATAAACTACATCCACAAGTTCTATTGTAAAGACTGTAGGATGGCAGAAGAGGCGAAGAAAAGAGCCGAGGCTTCTGGAGGCGAGCCGTCTCCTACGAGCCCATTGTCATCTTTGGAGGATGTGTCCCTCACACAAAAGATGGAGTCAAATAAAGAATGTAAGACTCCTCAAATATGAAGAGCTCTCATATTTGAGAGGTTTTGCACAATGTTTTTAGCTCAACGTATCTAAAATCCGTAACGCATTCACTTGATTTATGGGTAGCAGTTCTATTAAAACGAGATGCGGTTGCAGATATGTTTTAGCTATAACCCATTGTGCGAAACCTCTCTTATATTGCATGTTGCTCTTGTTTACACCTACTCTGTCTGACACAGACTATCAGAAATAGATCTGGAGACCCCATTGCGTAATTGTTTTATATTAAATAAAAAGACAAGTAGTCAGATGTTTCTCCAAGTGAGATACCCTTTTGTATATGAATCCAAAGTCATAACAACAAATCTCAATTACGAGAAATTAGAAAAATGATTGAAATGTTTAACATCAAAACATTCATCATTTGGGTTATTCACGAGTATTTACTCAGCAATAATATGCATCTGTTTTTTGCAACTTAAAATAAGCTCAAAGTAGCATCCGTCAGTTTAAATTATGAAATGATTTTAAATTAATCTTACATATGGCATCAGTGAAACATTTTGCATCCTAAATTGATGCTTTTCGTTGAAATGTAAAGACAGTTATGAATGAACTACTGTCAGTTACTATTATTTTATTATAATGCTTGAATTGTAATATTTCAGCTCTAAAGCGCAAGCTGATGTTACGGAGATCTGTAACAGAACTGGTAGATCAGGGTATATATCCATGTAAGTAGACCTTATTTCTTGTACATTTTGCATGTTAATGCCTCGTTATTTTATCCAATATTTCATTCCCATAATTTAAACATATAGACAGATGACAGGACAATTGAAATTCTTATCTTTGACGAAATGGTTCTATCCAGATTGAAATCCAGTAAATTTCCCCAATAGTAAAATATCCAGTTGCTGTCTTGTAAGCTGATTTCCCTGTAATGATAGCACATAATTAAGATAAAAGAAATGGCCCAATTTTAAGATACCTTTATACACAAGGTTAAACTCTACTAAATAGAGGCTAAATAGATAGTTCTATCAGACGAGACTAATATACAAGTCAATTGTGATAAGAATAAGTTACTGAATACCCAATGCATGAATCATTTCAAAAAGTGTCTCTTTTATACTATGATCATTATTCAAATAACCCATGAGATTTGTGATAGTTTTGAGATATATCTGATTATAATTTCATACTTTAATTTGATAAATGTATTATATAAGAAATATCATCAAATCACAGTTAAAATATTTAGAAGTATTGATCTTCCAAACCAAAGTTCATCAGACCTAATCGCTTATCCATCTACGTTCATCTGATTGATGGACCAGAGTGGAAGATCAGGATATTTGGATGATCTCCTGGTGTTTATAAACATTTCACTGGTCAGGTATCTGCTAGGTTCTTTACTAAACACATCTTTCACATCTTGTTATCACAGCCTTTTGTAAATTCTACCTTGGTTAGGTGAATTTTTTAGGCTAATCTTGCAACGATAAATGTGCCATTTTCTGACCCTTATGATTATCATTTTCATACACAAGAGGAGATATATAGCATTAGGCAGGAGGAAGGGGGGGGGGCAAAGACAATTACCCCCTACTCTTGACTCAAAAACAAGTTTGTGAAATACAGAGCAAGCAGAGAGCAGTTTGATGCAAGTCATAACAACTAAGCTCCTTTTGCACCCTGACAGTCACAGAGCATAGTACTAATTATGTAGATGAAGCCCTCTTTTAAGAAGCAAAATCAAACAATTTGAATGGGCACCATTGCCATTTGTTAGTTGAAGTATATTTTCATCCAATTCATAGTAAACCAGCCTGGATTAATCTTTCTTTGAATTAACAAAGATTGCAAGGAACCATAAAAATCAGATGTTTTTGCTTTACTGTTATCCAATTATTAGGGCGAACATCCTGAATAGTGAATATGTTGTTTTCATTCATACATAAAAGTTCAGAGACATCATCGGTCAGATGCCATACAGTCCATTTGGAAAACTCAAAGTTGATCTTGTTTTTTATACATCTGACTTATCGATCATTATATCTTCCAAAAACATTTTTCGATAAGTATTCTTTGAATGAATGTAAAAAAAACCAAATGTTCTTATTGAACTAGAAACTAGCTACCTTTTTGTTTGCCCTCTTTGGATTTATTTATTAAAGCAAAGTCACTGGAGGCTGTCTGTCAATTACAAATCACTCTATTAAATCAATCAGCTCTGTATACAGTTAAACCTGTTTTGTCCATTATGTGCAAACACCATCTGAAACGACCAAAAGTGTCCAGATCAGCTGATGTTCATATTTTTCGATTTTTAAGACTGAAATCTGTGGCAGTTTAAAAAATTGGGACTGAAACATGTTCATATTAAGATGTGTTCAGGTTAGGGAGGTGTTTAGATATGTATGGTTTTACTGTCCAAACGTTTTCCGTGAATCAAGTCTATTTAGACAAATTGCCCTGGGTTTGCTTCTGTCTGTACCATGAAGTAGATATATTAGTAACTACTCCTACCCCTTTTTTACTAAAGGTACTGGAATAAGAATGCAAATACAGAAAGGCCTCAGAGCACATATGTATATTTTGAAAAAAGGACATTATGAAGTTTTAATTTTTTTTTGCTGATTATCCCTATGTACTTTGGAGAACATTGTTGCAAAAAGGAAGATGTAGAATTGTTAAAATTAAAACATTTGGAGTGAATCAAACTGTTGAGTCTATTTTTGTCACTATTTGTGTATAATGAGAACTAATTCCAGGGAAATTCTTTCCTTCTAAATAGTACTTGCTTCAGTATCCCCTTTTTCTGTACCTTTACTTTTTCTGAAAGAAAATAAATTACATTTGCAAATAACAGATATGAGCAGATTCTTTCACCTGATGTTATTTGTACTCCATACCACAGGAGTATAACTTATTACAGAGTGATTCTAGCCAAATAAAATATGACTTATCAACTCATTCAAAGATTACAGGTATATCTGGAGATAAGTTGTAAAATAGGTAGATAGTTTCTTATTTATTACGGTTTGGAATCTTTGATCATCCGGTTTGGTGTGTGCCATTTTGACCTTTGTGACTGTTGAACTCAGTGAAAATGACTGTTGACCTTAGTTAGAATTACTGTTGACCTCAGTAAAAATCAAATTTTTTAGAGAAAAAATAAATCTTACAAAAAACAATTTTTTGCCAAAAAATAAAAATAGATTGAAACAGATCTTATAACTGTAACTGGGCTATACTGACAAAATGGCCTAGTTACGCTTCTGTCTGTGCTTGATGTCAGTTTGATTACCTAATATATTTCTCGAATTTTGAGCTGTCACTTAGAGCAAACTGAGCCCTTATTGGCTTTCTTTAGAAACGCACTCATTAGAAGAGTTATCAAACAAATTTTTCTTGTCAACTTTTTGTAGAATGTCATAGCTTTGGAATATCAACAGCAATGGGAAGCTATGAATCAGATTATGTGATCATTGAACGGCTCAAAACCTCCATTTGAATACCATGAGCTCTCACGTTTTCTGTATGTGGAAAGTATTTTTTATCCTAGCTTCGGGCAGGAAATCAATATCATTTCGAGGAACTGCTAGACGTTTAAACACATAATTCCATGCTTTATAGGAAGATACCACTTGGCCTGGTATCATCAAAAGTTGTTTATCTATTTTAGCCTTATTTTGAAAATTTGAGCTGTTTTGTACAGATTTTTATCTGGAGATTTCCCAATAATCTACATAGCTAGAATGTTCCTTCAGGTAGCACTTTGGCTAATTGGACTCTGGCACATAAGCATACACCACAGGTGGTTTTGTGTATTTATATCTGCCAAAAATGACCCTTATTTGATAACTTTCCTCAGGTACCCTCCATTTTGTCAGGTTCTACTTTGTTCAGTCGAGTATCTGTCAATAAATTCTGTTATTCAGAGTGGGTTGATTTTTGTACATATTGAGGAATGTTTGGGAAGCCAGTTTGGAAGAAAAAAAGATCATCATTTTTAAGAATAAAGAGTCGGTGGAAGGTTCTGATCCATGAATTATCTGAGAAAGATTGAACGGAAATGTACAATGATTCTTTCTTTTAAAGTTGTAATTAACTGAGATTTCGCCAGCTGTTCTAGTAGCTTGCATCCATGAATCATTAACAACCCAGACTGAATCGAGGACTGTTAATCACTGTTCGATTTCTCAAGTTGTACTTTTATTTGATTTAGACAAAATAATATTGCAAGCTGGTTCTGCAGGAATGTCCATTGTGATCAATGTTTATGTTTATGTTTAGAGATTCTGCCAACATTGGAGCCAAAGGATGTCAAAATAATCTGAACAAAAGTATTCATACTTGGAAGTATTCAGTTTGAGGGGTGTTCATATATACAGAGTATTATAACATGTATATAGCAATTTTATAGCATTGTAAGACTGTTTTGCAGAGATGTATGTATCGACTGCAAAAATCATATGTAAAATTCCTCATGCTTGAGTAAAGGTGGTCGAAATTCATCTTGTTTTACTTTTAGAACTCTACAGTTATATATATTCTATTTGAACACTTTTTGTTTGTCTTTGCAATTATAGTAGTTTGTGTTTGACAAGAACATGTCCAGATCTCAGAAATGTCAATTTCTTGTGTCTATCCACTAGACTGGTCTGTGTTTGACATGTTATGTCCAGATCTCAGAAATGTCAATTTCTTGTGTCTATCCACTAGACTGGTCTGTGTTTGACATGTCATGTCCAGATCTCCGAAATGTTAATTTCTTGTATCTATCCATTAGACTGGTCTGTGTTTGACAAGAACATGTCCAGATCTCAGAAATGTTAATTTCTTGTGTCTATCCATTAGACTGGTCTGTGTTTGACAAGAACATGTCCAATTCTCAGAAATGTCAATTTCTTGTGTCTATCCACTAGACTGGTCTGTGTTTGACATGTCATGTCCAGATCTCCGAAATGTTAATTTCTTGTATCTATCCATTAGACTGGTCTGTGTTTGACAAGAACATGTCCAGATCTCAGAAATGTTAATTTCTTGTGTCTATCCACTAGACTGGTCTGTGTTTGACATGTCATGTCCAGATCTCAGAAATGTCAATTTCTTGTGTCAATCCACTAGACTGGTCTGTGTTTGACATGTCATGTCCAGATCTCAGAAATGTTAATTTCTTGTGTCTATCCACTAGACTGGTCTGTGTTTGACATGTCATGTCCAGATCTCAGAAATGTTAATTTCTTGTGTCTATCTACTAGACTGGGTTGTGTTTGACATGTGCATGTCCAGATCTCAGAAATGTTAATTTCTTGTGTCTATCCACTAGACTGGTCTGTGTTTGACATGTCATGTCCAGATCTCAGAAATGTTAATTTCTTGTGTCTATCCTCTAGACTGGTCTGTGTTTGACATGTGCATGTCCAGATCTCAGAAATGTTAATTTCTTGTGTCTATCCATTAGACTGGTCTATGTTTGACATGAAGTAGGAACTGTTTGCTGTCAATAGTGACTATTACCTCCACATCTGGTTAAAAAGCGAAGATTCTGACGTAAAAGCGTCTGAATATAGTTCTATGTATCACTGTAAAGGTATTCCTTTTGTAGAGTTATGTAAAACTTCCAGATGGTCTTGTGCCGTTTATAGACCTACTAACTACCAGAAATAGGTCAGAAACTATTTAATTGACAAAAGTTTATTTGAAAAGTATTTTCTGACTTCTAAATAACATTAATTGGAAATATAACATTAAGAGGGTCCTTATATCTGCATCACCCTGTATTAGATTTGGAATTACGGTTCTGCATGCAGTTATATATCAACATCTTTCATTGTCATTCCTAGCAAATATTATTACGTCTAACTACTAGTAAAATACTTGGTGAATGATGTAAAGTAGTGTTTTATAGCAGGTAAACACAGCCAGAAAGTAACACTAATTGAACCATAAATTAAACAAACATAAAAATGTCCCAGATTTTTCCATAAAAAGTGGATGGTTTTATGCTCAACTGAAACAAATGGACAAGGTCATGGTAACAAGTCATTTTGCCCTACTATAAATATTATTTCATTTGTTTGAGAACTTACATTGGCATTTATTATTTATTTGATACCTAATCAACTGTACCCTAAACACTTATCCATATCTTTCTATAAACATACATTTCCAAGTAAGAAATTGAAACCATTCGCAGGTGGGGTCCAATCAATATTTTGATATTTCAAAACTTCGATTTCTATTACATGTACTTTAATTGTTTCTCTATAGATTAGCAAAAATAGTATTTTGGAGTTACAGTTAAGTCTAGTTTAAGTTTAGTTTTGCATATTGGAGAGGTTAAGCTTTGCATATATAATCGAAACTGAACCTGTACGTATCACTCGACCATATACAAATTCATGAAGCCTTCTCATATAAATAGCCGTTCAAATTCAGTGTTTGTTTAGACTACACCATAGCGTGTAATGATTCTATAGTATGTCGTTGATGCGGTTTTATAGCTGGTTTTCTAATACATATTTTAAACGAGCTCGTTTCGTAAGATTTTTGGCGCTAAATCATGCATGACATACATCATCGTGTTCAGCAAGAATTCAACTGTGCATCAAAATCAAAATTGACAGCATAGTGTTCAATAGACACGAGTAAAATGGTTCCCGTTGACCCAACGTCAAATATTCAAATCTCCCGTTCTAAACCCGAAACTCTGAAGCTGAAATAGTATCTGAAGTAGACTAAGCGCGCATAAAACTATGAGCGCTCGATACATTCCTTTGTTAATTTTTGTACTTTGCGTTCACGGTTACGTTGTGAAAAACATCGTTAGCTTAACCTCTCCATTGTACCATTGTTAGAACTCCAGAAAGTCAATAAAAGATATATAAATCAGGGAAAGTGTTTTGACTTACAGAGTTGTTCAACTGGATTTCATGTTGTAGCACACAACATTAGGCAATGTTCAAATCCCAAAAAGTAGTTACAACTGTGTATCTTGCAGGATAAAGGGAATGTTAGAAAAGTTAAGAACATAACTGACCTTAAGAAACATGACCCAAGAAAGCTGAAGAATCTTGTATCCCAGTAGAGAGCTGACCAGTTCACCATTGACCTCTTGTAAATGAAGATAAATTATGATTCTATATGACATTCCCATAACTCCTGTCAATCAATTAAAAGATATCAAAAATATTTCTTGTCTTTTACAAGATGTCTTATTTCTAATATTGATTGAGGGGCAAGTGCAAACATCAATGTATCATCTGTAGAATTTAATCTATTAGCAGAGGGATGGGAAAATTCAAACCCAGGTTTCATTTTTTAAAAGCATTAACTGAGTAATGAAATAACTGTTGCATTGCTTGGTGAGATTCAATTTATACGGGCAATGGAGTTGGAATAAGAAAAAACTTTGATATTTCGATCTAGTCCCTAATCCTAACTTAAGTCAACGATTATTACATAATGTACATGTCTTGTAGTATAATCAATCAGTCTATGAAATCACATTTTGTAGGTTTCTTTAATATTTACTATTTATTTTCCAGCATTGAAGACTCCTCCTGCCTTTGCAGAGAAGAGCAGACAGCTGGCAAGAGCAAAGGTAAGATGTCTAACTGAGCATGGTGGGTCATTGAAATAACCTTGGCATGATAGGCCACCAACATAATGTGGTTGGCCTTCATAACATGCTCAGTAAAGTGGGCCAGTGAAGATGTCTTGTATCATAGGTAATTGTCAGCTGGCAACAAGGTTAAGTCAGTTTGGATACGTACATCCATTGTGACATGAATGAATGAATGATCAAATAGTTTGAACATCAGGCCAGTTGGGGGGGGGGGGCTACAGGAAAATCAAAGTTCACTTCTCAATTGATATTGGGCCAAAGTTGTCAAATGTGAACTCCCTTAGAATTTTTGAAAATTGAAGTCCTGTGCGAAAACTGCATTGACAAGAACATGTCCAGATTTGTTACTGTACTCTTATATCTAAGACATATGCGTGGCATTATATTTACTATGAGTGGCCCATTGCTTTATGAATGGCATTCCACTTGACCAAATATTACATCATAATGTGTATGGAAGCTGGTATAGGAATGTTTAAAACAATAAGCTATATCTTGAGAATTCCACTTTGTGATATAACACACCGTGTTAATAAGTGCTGTATGTACCCGTTTGTATCATTCGAGGGGCCGCCATTCAAGGCCAAGGACTCCTTCTGATAGATAAACAGATATTAGATAATTTTGTGCTCCTTCCATAAAGTCTGAACGTAATACCCGGAATGTGCCTTGTTCACAAATTAAATGTGTTTGGTGTTCAGCGTTTTACATTATACTGTTCTTTCAAACAGAGGAACATGGGGGACTGGGGGTGCATGAAAAATATTTTGATAATCAGGGTCACACCATTTTTGGATGATGAGCTAATTATACCAAGCCCCTGGTATTAAATGAACCATTGCTTCCATGAACTTTCAGCAAGTTAAAAGTTATGACATCACTTCCTGTGAATTGTCTTAAAAAGATGGCAACCAATTTGAAATAAACATTTTCAAATGATCTAATAGCCTAATATCTAAATCTACTCTAATGTTTCTACTTCTTATAAGAATAAAAGTAGATATTTTATATAGAAACCATATCAATGCAGAATGGGCTTGAAAAACATATCCCTCTACGTAGGTGCTTGTACATAAAATTTCTTACATCTCAAGCTCTAAACTATAAATACCAGTAGTGGAAGAGCAGAAACACATCTTGAATGGGTAAAAGTTAGCAATCTTACACCAGGCCTATACCATGACAAACAATTCAAATCAAATTGCACATTTAGAAAATTCCACCTTTCAAGATGGACTTCAATGGTGTAAGAAACTCATGGTCGGCATGAACCTATGACTTCCTGCATATTTGTTTACCTCGGATCTGGTAATACTTTCAAATCTCAACTAAGATGCTGTAAAAAAACAAATAGCCCTCCAAGATGTTGAATCTACATATTGTTTAGATCTACAAGTAATCTCACTCTGATGGTGAGTTTGTGTTATGCTTGCCTCATACTCTTGTGACCCCCCCCCCCCCTCTTCCTACATAGGCCACCTATTGAAGGTGAAGTAAATTGGGGGGTCCTGAGACTTGATGTTCGACTAGGTCTGTGTTATTATTACTTGTTATTATTAACACATGTGTTTGGCTACTAGTAAGTTTTTTCAGGTTTCATCATATTCTAAAGAATTCATCAAAGGTGTTCTATAAAAACAATATCTGCATTGCACATGCCTTTTTGGCCCAACCATTGGGTTAAAGGGAGGGTCTTATCATTTTTTGAAAAATTAAATTAATGATTTAGGCTTTGATTAGACAAAACTGTCCCGTGAAGTACAGTGTACTGCTTTTTTCTAAACATTGTGGTTGGTTGGAGAGGGAAAGATATTCTGGTTGTTTCAGAGAATATTTATGATCAAGGGTATGAAGTTAGATCCCAACCCCAAGATCTAATGGTTCACTCAATGTTTCTGCACTCTACCATGCTTAAAATTCAGGTATCACAGATTCTATGTAGTCTGGGTTGAAAAAAACAATTGACCTTAAACGCTACATTGAATTTAAGAAATCTTAAAATAAGTAAACTATGAGCTCCCAGCATTTCATGTGAGAAATATTTCAGATATACCATTTCTATCTACCTGTAAGATAAACTTCATCAACATTGTATATACAAATAGTCCAATATTATAGAGGGCATAATTCTTGATCAACTAAATTAATAGCTTGTGATGTAATCATCTTATTGATAATCGCACTGTTGAATATGAAGTTGTTTAAAATTAATCTATTTTATTTTATGAAGTCTATACATTGAGAAATAGCTACAATTGTACTCGTTTTTCAAAATTTCAAAGGCATATAATGTTTGAGGCAAAGTGTTTGTACTTCAATTGAAATTTTTATGAAGGTAGTTATCTCATGATATTTTATATAATATCCATCCCATCCATTTATTTTGCCAGATTTTGTAATAAATTTCCAGATAAAATGTTTGACCTACAAACATGCATACCTGGCTATATGCGCTATGTATTTGATTACAAAATATTTTGCAATTGCTTATATTCTGTCTGGGATGACTTTAAGGTAGACCTATGAGGATGGGCCTACAGAATGGGCCAGCAGAATAGGCCTACAGAGTGGGCTCGCAGAGTTGGGTTACAGATTGGTATTCAATATTTGAATTGAAAAATATATTTATTTCAACTCTGTTTTCATCATCCTCCGAACACAGGGCTTCAAAATCCAGAATATATTCTTTCTTTTTACCCCCTGCGATAAGCAGTTACTATTTCCCCGATTAAGAACTCACAATCTGATTGGCTGTCGCAACACTGCGACAGAAATAATGTATAAGTCATTGCGCATAATTAGATCACGTGATTCAGTTAAATCGGGCACTTCCAAATTGGTTATAGCAGGGGAAAGAAGGAGGTACGGATTCTGGACACCTGCTTAGGAGGATGTGTTTTCATATACAGAATTATTCTGATTTATCAACTATTTTGTATTGTATTTGATATTATTTTTCTATCAAAATGTCTATGTATTTTCAGACTGGAGATCTACTGAAATACAAAATCCAACATAGACCTAACAGACAGTCTCTTGTCCAGCAACATATTCTAGAAGGTAATCCCACTTTGAATATTCAACCTTAACATCATTATCAAATCTAAGTGCATTGTATTGTTTATATCAATGAAGTAAAGTACTATTAGGTCATTGAAATGTTAATTGATTCTATATTCCTCATAAACAATCTATGACAACAAGATTGGGTTGATAGAGGTATAAGTTTTAAGGAAAAATGCAAACAAACGGGTGAATGATGAAGATATTCCTGACTGTGAGGGTCTACCTGATATAGACAATAGAACTAATTTTGATGTGCAGTATTTATAAGTGATAATGCTCCTCTCATTCCATTCCACAATTGATAAGAAAAGGGACCTTGTTAAATCAAAATTAAAACAAAATTTGACATCATGGACTGACAATGATAAGATTCAATTATCTTAATATTATTTATATTTTGATAGAAATTAGATTCTAATAGAATTGCTGAAACAAAAATGTGTCTGTTTTAGACCCTGGCAATGTTGATCCGTCTCTACTGGAGCGCCAGAGGCAGTTAAAGAGGGCTCGACTGAGGGACTCAATGAATGAGAAAATAGCTCATAGACCTGGACCATTGGAGTTAGTTGAAGGCCACATATTGGAGTCTGATGGCAAACTTGCTAGTGCTATACAAGGTATAACATCAATGTTACTATGAATAGAACTGACCCGAGGTACCGAACCAAACCGAACCTACCACATAATGGACATTGATGATTTGACCTGGCCCCCAAGTGTAATAACAATAACCTATTGACCTTTGGATGACCTTCAATGACCTTAGAAATTAAATTGAACCATTGTTTTGTACTGTATTGTGATAGCATTTTGTAAAATGTTGATGTTATTTCTTTCTAATTAATACCATAACTATCTACAAAATAATCCTAAGCGGCTTTGAAATAAGTTTTAACAATGACTCTGATTCATTTCCAGATGGGAATGTGCATTATAACAAGACATGTGAGGGAGAAAACATTGGAGACAGAGCTACACAATTTCTGTTTGATGATGACAGTACAAGTGATACTGCTCTTTCACCTCAATCAGAATCAGACACATCAGCTCTCAGCCCAGCCCATAGTGCAATCAGTAGTACGACATCTTCATTGTCCATCCCTTCACCACCAGATATTACTCCTCTATTGCAGAAAATACAGAAATCCACAACACAACCCGGCCAATTTACATTTCATGGTACAATCACACCATATACATCTCAGTCCTTCACAAACATTACCCCAGTCACGACCGCAAACTTTTCGGTCGTATCCAGCTCAACATCTGCCAAAGGAAGCAGTAATCTCGCTTCTGCTAAAGCTCGAATTCGCAACAAACAGAAGCAGAAGCAACCACAGCTTAAATCCAAAGTTATCAAATTCCATGAGTATAAAGGTCCACCTGCGACATCATCCAAAACAAGCAGTTTGTCAACTTCCACATCAACAACAACGACAACAGCGATGACGTCAAATGACACGGAGGATGATGGGACACCATATCATATTCTACTTCAGCAACAGCAGCTGTTCCTTCAGTGGCAGCTTGAATTCCAGCAAAACCAGAAAAACCAGCAACAACAACAACAAGGGCAGACTGCACAACCAGCTCAGCCTGTTAACCTGCTGACTGCTCCCCCTCCACCACCCATCCCATCCTGTCTCAGTCCACCTTTGTCAGTGCAGTCCGTGCAGTCAGTAGCCAGTGCAAGCAGTGAGCCATCCCCCCAACCCCCAAAGGCACACTTAGTCATCACCACTCCTCAACCTGTCCCCACACCCCCTAAATCAACAACACCAGCCCCATCTCCCATGCCAACCATCACTCTTGGTCCTAGCCCTGTAACGCAGCCTGCTGTTCAGAAACCTGTTGCTATACTTGCCCCAGGGAAACCCCAGGCCATGATGCAGGTACAGAACAAGGCAGGATTTGGAGGCAAAAAGCAACAACCACCAGCTAATGTAGCCAACCTGCCTCTACTGACCAACCTAGAAGAAATGAAGGTTGCTGATTTGAAAATTGAGTGTAAGAAACGAGGCCTCACTGTCTCAGGCCCTAAACCGGTACTTATTAACAAACTCAGACCATTCGCAGAGCCAAAACCAGTTACCGATGATAACGAGGCTTCAATGCCAAGCTTTCCAAATATTAAGAACGTTAGTAGAGTTATCAACATGCAGCCTAAGACTCCTGCGACTCAGACTGTAACTCAGACTAGCCCCCAGAATAACATGTCTAACCTGGAGGACACCATTAGTAATGTAGCTATGGGGAATATCTCGCCACCGGAGTCTCCAATGGACAATCCTCTATCCCCTGAGAATGCAATGGAGGTGACCACACCAACATTACTCACTTCTATTAAAGGATCTTTCACTGCATTAGCGGAGCAGGTACCCATGGTGATTGATCCAATATCTAGACCACCTTCTGTGGCTCCAGAAGCCATGGATATGGATGAGACACAACCAACATTTACTATTGGTCCACCTTCTATTAACTCCTCCCAGTCTGTCAGTTTGACTGTAACTAACTCCTCCCAAGCTGTCAATCAAAATCAACCAAACTTGCTGCAGACATTCTCACCAATTCAGCAAGTTAAACCAAACCAAACCACTGTAGAGCAAATACAGGCTCAACAGGAGCAACAACGATTGGTGGAACAGCAAAGATTGGAACATCAGAGGTTAGAACAGGAAAGACAGAAACAACAGAAACTGGAGCAGCAAAGGCTGGATCAGCAAAGACAACAAGAGCATCAACAAGTACTGAACCTTCTGCAACAGTCACTCATTACAAATGGGAAGACCAAGCAACAAAAGGCTCAACAGAATAACAACAGGTCTCCACCTTATAGTAAGCCACGCTCCCCGCCTCATAAGCAAGTTACCTCTCCACCCCTGACAAAGCAGTCTACCCCCTCTCCTTCTTCAGTTTTTCAAGTGATGTCACCACCTACTCCCATGATACATCAGCACACACCATCGCCCCCAGCAATGGTAAAACAGGAGGTTTGCCTAAAGATGGAGCCAGAGTCACCACAAATGCCTTTGCTTCAGCCAGCATCTCCAGCGCAATCTATAATGCTTAACAACAACCACGCACAAGCAAGCCCACAACAATCAGAAGCAAGCCCCCAGCAGTCGCAACCAAGCCCTCAACAATCGCAACCAAGCCCTCAACAATCACAACCAAGCCCTCAACAAACCCAACCAAGCCCTCCGTTGATTTCAGTCATCCCACAGCAGTCACTTTTGAGCCCTGGGAACCTAGTACACTCACAGCTGAGCCCTAATAACCAGCTACAGGAGGCTCAGCTACAGTTTCTTAAGAGCCTAGAGGGCTTGTCACTGCCCTCTCCCGGTCCTGACTCTAGTGGAGACCAGGCATCACATGAGGAATTGGTCAAACAACAGCAGAAACAGATTGAGGAGCTAAAGAGACAGGTAAAGCTGTTACAGACACAGCAACAAGCACAGCTGGTACAACAGCAACAGCTGGCTCAGCAACAAGAACAACAGCAGCAACAACAACAGAAACAAATGATTGTGCCCATAAAACAAGAGGTTTGTACATCAAATAGAAGTTGGGTTGACAAATAAAATGTGTGCAATGTTGGTGTGAACTAATTGTTCCCAAATAAAGAGTTTTCTTATTCAAGGCTAAAGTTCCATCAGTTGAATGTTAAGGCAACTTCTCATGCATACAACATTTTAAGAGAAAACATTTTTACAAATTTATGAACTTGAGTGGTGAAGACTACCTGGGTTACTTTTTTAGATCAAAACTTTTGATACAATTCTAGTATAATCTCAAAATATTTGGGAATCAAGTAAATCTAGATAAGAGTTCTCTGAACAATGTCCATTTCCAGAATTAAACAAAGGGTTGTTATTCTTTAAAACATGATTTTGATGAAGCGCATAGCCTTTAAGAACATATGTTGTATTTTAGCCTGCACATGCGACAACCAACCAGCCTAGGGGCCATACTACAATCACTGTACCAAATGGCAATGGAAAAGTGACTAAGATCCAGATTCCTGCCCAGCTGTCCCCTGCACAAACCCTGCAGTCTCTTGCCCTAAAGACAGCCAGCAATCGTGCTAGCCAAGGTGACACCAAACCAACCAATGTCTTGTTCCAGACCAACTCCTTGCATGATAATCTCAACTTTGGGACACTTAGTCAACCAAAAGTGTTCCAGTTTGCGCAGGCACCACCAAATGGACAGCCGTTTATATTTACGTCAAAGTCACCTCCAACATCAAATAATAAACCAGCGAATAGCAGTGGCGGGAACAAACATGGAAAGTAAGTGCCACTTACATCTTCCGAATTTAACTTTAAAAGTGTTAACTTTACGTCTACTTCTTGTATTGTAAAATATAGACCAGCAGTCTGAAGTTTTTATGGCACACACTGTGGAAAATATGATTTTTAAGCATCAAGTTGAATACCCGGAAAAGGTGAAGTAACCTTGACATGTGTATTCAATCTGACCCAAGGTCTCAGGATGATGTATTTTACTGATATTGAAAACATGTTGGAATGCCGCTTGTTTGGGTTGTATTACCTGTATTCTCCACAGAGTGGTCTCATACTATTTACCTGGTAATATAAACCAACTCTTACAATCTCACCAGATAAACAAAGTCAGCCTTCCAGTAAAATTCACAATCTGTAACAAATGACAGGTGGTGATATTTTGCATGTTAATGCCTTGTTATTTACTAAGTATGTGAAGCATTTATGTGACAAAGATAAAATCTTTACTTATCCAGTTATGCTTTCATCAATTTTAAAACATTCTTAGATTTATCATCAATATATTCATGAATGTTACTGTTTGAAACATCTTTTTAGAATAATTTTTAATGGTAAAGTACATGTACTTGTATTGAGGGGGTGGAACAGAGCATGCTATTAAAGCAAAATACTTGAGTATGATAGATTGTTATCTAACCATAGATTACATTTACATTTTTAGACAGTTGCATTTGCTGGTATCCATTCTAAACTGAACAGTTCTGAACTTATCAACAATTCTACCAATTCTTTCACCAGGAAATGTTTAGGTTGAGGTAGAAACATTTTAGTTGCAGTTACTTTGTATTGTGTCTACTTAATTGTGTATTAAAGCAGGTTTAGTGTCTGGAGGTATTTTCAACATGGTGGTTAAGTTAGTCAGAAAACAGAAAAGAAATTGGGTTTAGACAGTTCTGGAAAGAATTCTTGAAAATGAGTTTGAGGATAAAAGTTTGTCTCTGTTTCTTGAAATGTAATTGTCCACTGCAAAAATAAAATGAATAGCCAAGAATTTACCTGCCTTTTTATGAACTGAGTCCATATGACCTTCATAGGGATTGCCTTTCCATTGAGGGTCACCTTTGGTCTGTTACTCAGGGAGGCTGAAGGTCATGTAGACTATGCCGTCAAAATATCATAATTAGCTATTCAAAAATATTGAACATCTTGTAGGTTAACTTGATATAGGTTCATTAATGCATTGATTATATTAAATGTTATCAATAATTATAATGGAGAAAGCAACAACTGATCTATTGATAGCAGAATTGATAAGATGTTGATATGAAGACCATATATTCCAGTGAAGAGTACAAGTCAATGACCATCTGTAGCATGTTGAAGACTAACTCTTAATTGTCCGTGTCTGTTTCAAAACCAACATCAAAATGTTTTTCTAAAGAAACAAATAACAGATTAGATACTGTACTTTTATTCTGTCATTTATTTATTCCATCTTTTTTCTTTAATGCTGGTACAGAACTGATGTTATAACTTTGGAGTATTATTTTTCCCAATAAGGTCTACATATGTTCTCAATTTCATCATTGTTTGAAATGTACCTTGTTATCGAAAAGCCCTTTCTCAAATAAACTTTAAATAAAATGCTCAAATAGTTTTGAAGGCCACTTAGACCTCAGAAAATGGCCTTATTTCAAATAAACAGCCAAAAGTCAGACCAGTTCATTTCCCACCAAATACAAGGGGAAATATTGCAAAAAACATATCTCATGTAGAGAAGCTTTACCCTTATAAGCAAACATCATGGTCAAAATAAGCATGATTGCATGACGGACACATGAAACATTGAAAATAAGGAAGTTATGTTAAAGTGGCAACAAAGAAAGTTTAAGTTATTGGAAGCAATCTTTTGAAAAAGCATGACTACTGTTTCTATTATAATCACAAATTAGGGATGTTGTCTTATTATCAGCAACTGTAGAAAGATGAAGTTAATTTCATATTTGATTTTTATTTCACTTGAGTCTTCAAAAAATCAAATCTCCATTATTGAAATGGAATCCTTGCTAACTTCCTCTCCCTGAATGAAATTAACTCCATACTTCATCAATTTTTTTTTTCTTTTTGTTGCACCTTTAATTTATACTTTTACATGTCAAGCTGGATCAGGCTAATCCAGTGCTGATGGAAATGTTAGACATGTTGGGCATCATCTTGAAAAAAATAAGAGAATTGCATTGACCTTCTGTCTAAACAATTACTTTATACAGCTCAAGCTGATTATACATCTCATTGTAATATTTTAGATATACTCAAGTATGAATTCATATTACGATATCTAAATACAGTATATCTCTATTTTCTGTTTTCAAGTTATCAGATACTCTTGTGTCTAAATAATGCCAGGAGGGAAATTAATATTGATTCCAATTAATTCGAAACATTATAAATTATACACAACATTCTGCAAAGGTCAATTTGATTTTTTAATAAATTAATGATTATGGAAAAACTCTAACTATTCTTTTCATTTATAAGTTTGTCATGAATTTTTAACCTGCTTGGTACTTTGGGTTAAGCTTAATGGGATTATCGATGTAGCTGTCACATTCAAGGCTCCACCCCATTCAAATAAGATATTTTGGATATTGCTTCAGAGGCAGGGGGCAGATATACCTGCATCAATTTTGACAGTGATGATTAAAATATGTAGCTTCTCATCGCATTTATAGTTTAGCTCTGGTAATTTTTCTTGCCTATCTATTTGCTGGATGAAAGGTATGTGGTCAGAATGCCTTGGCATCGTACTGGAAGCTACAATGCTTTATGAGCTGGATATGATGTAAATCCATAATTCTAGTTTATTATCTAATTAAAATGGTGTCGGTTTACTGTATAATTAACCCAGTTATTAAAGGAATTTTTCCTGGCAAGATGATAAAGAGAGATATTCCTCCTGTTTTGAAATTACAGGAAGTTAGGAAGAATATATCGTTTCTAGGGCCCTCTGACCGTGTTATTTAGTTACGCTGTTATGGGTTCCTTGGCCTTGGATTATCTGCGAAAAATTATGCAATAGTCTTATCATGGCATGTGTAAGAAACAGTAATTATGAGAAGACATATCCTTGGTACATAATCATTAAAAAAAGGATAGGCAGATACCTTAATTATTTCTGTAGGTCTTTGCATGAAAAATTAAAAATTAGAGAATGCTGGTTTATTCATGCAGTTCAGCATTTTGTAATATTATTGATTAAAATGATGTGATTTACAATGTAATTTTAAAGTATGCATCACTTCAAATATGTTTTTAGATATCCAATTTATTTATTCACAATTTTCATCCCAGTTCATAACATTTTCACGTACTTAGATATTGTTTGAGAGTACTGTATCGTACATGGACTGTCAATAAACATACTTTTATTTTATTCTTTTTCATATATTTGCAGATCTTCTAGTATGCCTGGTTCACCAGTGGAACAGTCGAAAATGACAATCACAAAGTCACTCACAAACCCCTTTATATTCACCAATGTGCCTAGCAAGGACCCGCCTAACTATGATGAGGTCATCAAAAATAGACAGGTATATTGTAGGCCTATGAATTCTTCTCTTTATAGTTTGAATATGATAAATTCATATATAAGGTTAATAAGGTTTTAAATTACTCTAAATTAGAGTTACCATAATTTATGCCTGGTCAGAAATCAGGATGCGGTTCCTCCATCCAAGGAGGTTGTTTTTCTGCTTGTATTTTCATGGGATTCTTCTGTGATGTTGATTACGGCAATTACAGAATTTTGTTGCCTTCCAGAATGCCATTATGACAGCAACTCAAGGTGCCCCAGTGACATCAGTGTCAGATGGCACCACTAGTACTGTGACATCGTCAACTGGTGGGAGCTCATCAGTTCGTAGTGAAGCAGTGGACGATCTATTAGAGATACTCATACGTCGAGGGGGTAGGAATTCAATTAATTTTGCATTAACATATTTCGGAATATTATACTTTTCTTAAAGCTCTCATTTTAGTGCTCTCAATCATGACATGATTAATTAGTTTTATATAGCACGTTCCGAATGGCATTTTGAGCATAAAGTAATCTTTTCCTTGTTACTTTTGTAATGGCATATTCAAGAATAATCTTTGTCGTATTCAGTATATGCATAGAGGACTAATTGTATGTAATTGTATGTTGGGTACATGGTTCATTTGCTTTCTCTTCTTGCAGAACTGCCTGAGAGTGCAGCTCAGGAACCACCACCCACGCCACTCTCCACTGCATCCAGCTCTCAGCCAACAAACCTCCCAGCATACTTCACATCAACCAATACCAAAGCAGGGATGCCTGGCCCTACAACAGTGCTGCCCCCTGGAGTCAGTATTATTGCAGCTACTCCGAATGGCGGGAGCCAACCAACGAGGTACATCATCACAGCTCCACCTGGTGCTCAAATCACTGGGCAAAACCCTGTTCCCGATGTGCCACAACAGATGACGTTCGGCTCAAATGCAAATATCCCCAATGCATTAAGCCCGGGACAAAGACAGACACCCTCTCCTTTGAATATCTCATCTGCAATCTCAAACTCACCTGCGACTGCAGATGATATCGTGTCTCTGCTTGGGGGTGACACAAACACTAATGATTTACCATTGTTTAATATGACAATGGACTGGTCCAGCGACACTGAAACTCTAGGTGACTTGAACTTGCCATCATATGGTAGCCCTCTAGTGGATTCAGATATGAAGGCTACATTTAATGCTAAGAACCTCAATGATAACTTAACATTGCCAAGCCCAAGTACTAGTAATACTCAGAATGAAAACCTGCATAACTCAGCTTCTGATTCCACCTTAGCAGGCCTACAAGATATGCAGGATACAATTAGTATGAACACAGATGTCTCTGATTGGTTAGATGTTATAATGCCCAGTACGGGACTGACTCCGCTAAGTGCTAATGCACCTGTCTCGTTCCCTTCAGACCCGGTGTTAACCCCCAAACCTCAAGACATCTTAGACTTGTTTAATATGGAGGAATCTGACTTTAACACCCCTACAGATGCTCCTTCTAATATGAACTGGGATGTGCAGCCAGACAGTCATAGTCTCTCTTGATCAAACAAACAGAGCAGTCACCTCCCCAGAATTTTTTCTCAAGTGGGTGCAAGACTCATTTTCACATTTCTGTCCAAAATTGACCAAAATATCCAAATTTTTCTCATTTCAAAGTGGGTGAAAATGTGTTTCAAAATTGATCCAAGCTTGTTTTCAAAATGTCAAGTAGCCCGATCCGTACTCACTTGTTTTAATGCTGGGGAGGCCACTTTATTCAAAGAGCACTGCAGTTGATCAAAAGATGTAATTGGGTGTGAGAAAACCAGAAAGGTGCCTGAAACTAAATGTAAATTCTGCTGAATCTAAGGTGCAACAAGGAAATAAATCTATGAACAAATCTGAGAACATTTTCTGAATCTTATGAGTGAATCCAGTTCAGAAAGGGCTCAAAATATTTATTTACCCAAATGAGAGTTGTTCTTTCATCTTAAGTGAATAATCAACACAATTGACATTATTTAATGTAGTGTGTTAAATTAGAGATTGCTGTAATATATATTGACATACTAGTACTTATCCCCTTGATTCCTATCCTTTTTATCTGTAAAGAGAACATACTAGAGAAAGTGTTGTATCAAGTCATTGTGTTATTATTGGATTAGAGTTTTGGGCATGGCAAATGGCTTGATTCAACACTACTGTAGCTCCAAAAGTCTAGAGGATAGGGCTCCTTTAAATGTGTTTTATCACCTTGTTTTACTAACATATAAGCTGAAATCAAAATTACCTAGCTGGTATATTAATATTACTGTATATGCAATCTTGTTCCGGATTTATGTATTATTAAGTGGCCAAAAATGTAAGGAGTTAAAAATCTATAAAATATATCATTGATTAGGTAGTGTGTTAAAGATGTTAGCATGCCTTTACATAACATCAAGTATATATCTGATCTGCCATGTTAATGTGAAAAATGGGAGAAATAATGTACATGTACTGTATTTTCTATCAACTAATTTATTAAGAATGTGTCTAAACTTTGGACCAAAATGTATAGTATGTGAGCAACATGGATAATACAACACTGTGATGTTATTCTGCTTTAAACACTTGCAAATATATTTCAAAACTACCTGTAGTCCTGCTTTAGGTCATCTTGACCCCCTCCCCTGCACAATTTCCATGAGGAGGTCAAGTAGATAGATAGGGGGAGGGGTCAAGAGATCTGATGTAGGACTTAACTACCTGATTTGTAATGATAGATAGCATAACATCTTTATCTTTTCAAAGAATAACTTTCAAATTTTTAGATTTTCTATCCATGCTATTGCTTTACTGGGAAATAGACACAGCCTTTGACTAGATAGACATTAAGTCTTAATTTTCTCCAACTTGGTTTTATATTTTATCATTAGAGAACTATATATGAGAGATAGTATTGTTAAGATAGTGCATGTTTTATTACAAATAGAAGTGAGGGTTGACCTGTGTTGAGCCACACACATTATACACTTATAGAAAACATTATAGATATTAATAAAGCTGAACTGACAGACAACATGTACACCAATGTCGGAAAAATATTTTTCCCATTTTTACTTCGTTTTACGGGCAGACATGTTTTGAACAAAGCCTACCCAGACAAAATAAATGGATAGCATTGTAGCAAATGTATTCCATGATATATCTTTTTAGCTGTTGAAAGCATTGGTAAAATTGTTTAACACCTGTTAGGTTACGGAAATGATGAGTTCAAATCAGAATTATGAGCAGTTTACTCCACTTAGAGACACCTGTTGTCATTTTCTATTCGAAAATACGCCTACTCAAAATTCCATCTTCGTCAACAGCATTTTTGCATAAAGTGCATATTATCTAAAAAAAATTTAAAATGTTCAATACATTTTAAGTGCTTCCTTATCTAATTTATTGGTAATATAATTTCATGTTTTTATAGATGGATAGAGATTTTCTGAGAAAAATCACCTTTCTATTTGTGAAATATGAAAAATTCCAAAAAATTCTATATTTATAGCCTAGCAAGTGTTTGGGATATTTATAACTTTAATGAACACTTAACACACTTAATCTTTGCATCATCAGTCAACATGTTTCTGAACTTGTATCTGTCAGTCTAGTGGTAATTCTTACTATAATCTAGCTAAATATTTCACCATTAATATTTATTGAACAAAAATGTGCATTCCTTTCACTGGAATTCCCAACAGTCTAATTTGACTGGGACTATATTTCCTTATATTTTATCAAAGATGGAGCCACTATCTCTCCCATAATGCATTGCACAAAATGGCAGTCTTTATAGCAGTTTCATGCCAAGTTTGACTTGATGCAATGATAGGCTTCAAAGTGAGCTGTACCTGTGCTTTAATTCCCATGACAAAACCTTGATTTTGGCTAAATCTTTGATATTGTATAGAATTGTTTGACCAATAATCATTTCGCAAATGTGTGCTTCATGTAGCATAATTTGTATTGTTTGACATTCCAATATATTATGTTTGTTTTCACTGGCAAGACACTGTTAGATGCTATATCTGTGTGTTCAAATGACATTTCTGCACACACCAAGTATGAAACTGTCCCAAATGGTGTCAAAACAGTTGAAATTATTTAAAAGTAGCTGTTCCCCTATATTAGAAATTAATATATATTATATTATATGAATCACAGTTATATAAAGGTGGTACATTGTATTTGAGGGGCAAATGTATCCTATTGTAATGAAAACTGCTTCTTTAATACTAACATTGTCCCTGATTTACAAGTTGTACCCCTGAATTTATTTATGTGTGGGGTTCACATAGCAAGATGCATGGCTTGAAAAGCTAAGACTTGTGTACTTTTATATATATTGTTTGGGTGCTCTTAAATTTTTATAAACCACTAATACACCCCTTTGAATTATTAAGATAAATGCAACATTCAATGTTATATCCCATTTTATGTTAAGACTCTACTGCTGTTTGTACATAAAATGTATAAGGCTCTGATTCAGCATTGCTAATTGTTTAATATTGATACCAATGAATCACATGTGGTTGATGCAGTATTGGATGCAATCACACATGTCACAACATATTTTCTGCAAATAATTGCAACATGCACGTACGTGGCCCTATTATTTTTCTACTCTTAAACAACATGGTCTTCCAGCAATATTGTGTCATGCATTTATGGCGTTAGGTTTTTGTGGAAAATATCATTGCCAAAATGTTTCTATTTTGTCACTAGAGAGACCATTAGATTATGTATCTAACCTTGAACACCTAGATTAAAAGATAGTTGCTAAGCAACTAAGTTGCTATGGCAATTGGTTATAATGGTTTTGGGGGCCAGAATCTAGTCGTTGATATAACAATAACAAAACATACTTTTCCAATATAATATAATATTATATATGAGTGAGCCATAACATTACATTCAAGATACGAGCCTATTCATAAGAAAGGAGCTCTTATCACATAGATTTTAAATTCTGAGTAATATATTCCATTTTGTAAACTCCTAAAAGCTTCTGGCTATAATACATTTTACCTCAGTAGTCAATTCTAAAATTTCAAGAAGTGGTGGTATTTAATAGTTTTTTTTATCCGATTCCTTCCTTTTAACAAGTTTTTGCTCATAACGTAAGTTTTTATCAAGATGTGATAAGACCTTCTTTCTCATGTGTGGGTTTCATTGTGTGCTAGCAGCTATTTTGCTATTAACTTAAAGCATATACCTGCTAATAGGCATTTTGACTTCTCTGTTAGTGCATTTATTAAATTCAGTAGCTAATATTTTGATATATTGTAAATACAAGAATGGGTTGATGTGCAATTCTCCAATGTTTCACATTTCCTTATAATTCATTGCAGCCATGGGTCAAAACAAAAATTGCTCTTTGAATTTTAAGTACATTGTGAAACACGTGTAGACAGGCCTATCAGGTTTACTTATAAATAATTGGATGATTTCAATTTCCCCTGCCTGCAGGGGTGTGCATATTATTTAGAAAAGGTCGCAAAATATCTAACTCTATAATCCAGAAAAGATCATTCATTTTGATGTACCTTGTACACCTCTCTCCCTCCTGATAGGCCTGGCCTGTATAGATCATTATTGTATATTTTAAATCAAATTCATTCATACAACAATAATACAACATCTGGGAATTGACGATGAATTTTAATTTATATTTTTGGAATGCAAATGTGAGCTCTCTAAATTAATCAAAAACAATATGTTGGCACTGGCATCAATAGTATATACTGGTACTGATATCAATTTTAGTTTTTTCATCAAGATGATTTCGATATGAAGCATGAGAGTTACATACAATTGAAAGTATTTCCCATGTGTATGCTTGTAATGTCACCCAGGGTATATAAAAGGTTGCAGAACTGTGACACGTCATTATTTTTATTCCACATATCACGAAGCACTTGCAGCATATTGTACACACAAATCAAAAAGATCATATTTGGTAGTGGTAGTTTGTTACTTCTAGTTTCAAGCCTCTTATTTGCTAAGCATCGGCATGGCATCACCCTGTAAAATTGAACTTGGTCATAGCATAAATTGGCTGTGCATTACTTGGACTTTTCACAGAATACTTTGTCACCATATCCTGGTATTGTTGCTGTATCAACAGATTTAACAACATTTTATGAATGTTCTCAAAGTGTACCGTTTTACATTACATGTAGATACTCCCAAAATCCCAAATATTTCAGTGCAATCAATGAGTAATACAATTTGGTTTTCCTCGCGATTATTTGGTTATTCAGAGGAGATTCTCGCCATCCATGCTTTGGTACTTAGAACAACATGACAATGTAGGTCTGCATACAAGCCAGAAAAGCTGAAGCAATTTGTCAAGCTTGCCTTTGAAATGAGCACACATTAAAGCACTCTTTCAGGTGTGTATGCAGAATCAAATGTCCACCACTCATACTCACATATATGTACAGTACCAGAAGGTTAGAAAATATCATTTTACTGACTACATTGTTAGACCAAGTGCATGTACAAAAACAGTGTATAGAAAAGTGATTATTTCCAACTTTGCTGCTTTTTTATTAACCAGATTGTTTGTATGTAAAGTGTATATAAACTTTGACACCCCTTGTATAGTCTTTGTTATAGTGGCATATGAAATTAATAAAGACTTTAAGCTTGAGATTATCATATTTTGTTTATTTCATGATATACATACGGTCATTTGAACATATAGATACAGAAGTGGAACACCTCCATAAATAGAACACTTCAAAGTCCAGTTACCTTTAATTTCCCTCCCAAGTAGAACGCTATTTTAAAGTGCCAAAGTCATTCTACTTCCATAACACTGAAATTAGGAGTAAATGATCTAAATGTTGTATCACTAGAACAACCATAAAGGTAACCAACTTTTAAAAATACTTTAATACCCTCTTTTCTAAAAATATCAACCTTGAAAAGATTCTCACCTCGTGAAAAATTCCCAAAATGAGAACAACCTTTTCTGATGATTTTTTCTGATTTTTTCAGTTTGATGTTTTGTGAGTTGATTCTTGTGTACGATAAATGTACCATACACGAACTGAAAATTCCTGACACTTAAAATGTTCCGAACTAACCAATTCCAAAAACTTTTTGTTCCATGATTCCTTCTCTTTATCTTTTTGTTATATTTTGGTAGACATTTTCAGCTTATCATAAAACCATTTGTTAACTCGTTCGCTACGAATGACGTGATATGACGTCATAAAGCACATACGTTGACTACGAATGACGTGATATCACGTCCAAGCACAAACCCAATGTGTTTTTTTTTAATCTTGTAATAGACCCTAAGATTCGGAATATTTGATACAAGTCCTTTGGACTTGTAGGCCTAAGTCAAAACTTTACAAGTCCATCCAAAAAAATACAAGCCAAAAAGGACTTTTAAATCTGAACGTTACAAGTCCAATAAATCACTTACCGTATTCTTTAGGGGCGCTTAGAAAAATCAGAATAATAGAGTTGTCCTAAAGAAAATGCCCTCCCCCAACTGAGCTCTATATGTACTTGGTCCTGAAGACCCCCTCCCCCACCAACCATCTGTGTTTTTAATGTGCCCATATATGAAAGGAGAAAAACAGGAATTTCATGAGGCTAGTAAAGTTTTCTTGCCAAAAATCAGAAACATCAGAACGGGGTATGAGCATATCTCTGCAATAATGGCATGGATTGTTATTGGAGAGTTTACCGTAAAGATCGCTAAATGAACCAAGAATCAATTGCAAAAATTCCCAATAGAGCCCTGCGAATTGAATGAAGAGTTTTCCCCGATTATCTTCATCATTTCCGCAAAAGATCGTCGGATATTTTTATTCATATTACCGCGGATCGGGGAAACCATGACCAATATTGACGTATATAGTCAATCAAGGTAAGCTCATAGGTCATTTTGAAATACGCCAGGGGGACTTGTATTTTGTGACGAAGCACGCCAGCCACTAAAACTAGGCGCCGCTGGCGTCCTGGCGTGTGGGAATCTTAGGGTCTGTCTTGTAACCATGACAACCTATAAAATGGGACTTAAAAACGTATTGATTCTGACGGAGTATATCATATGCTTTAAAATGATATATAACACTACATACTTATGCCCATGTATATATTTTATATATTATCTCATAGGTACCATATATAGGAATTTTCAAAAATTCTTCAGTATATTAGTGCTTTTTGCCCCAGTATTGAATGAATTAATAGTTACGTACACAGCAGTTTAAATTGCTTCCTTTTTACAAAAAAAGCTGTCCACAAGAATTTCAAGATAATTTAACCTAGACTAGAATTTAACTCTTGTGTCATGTGTCCTCTTTCTTACTTCCTAGCTGTTTTTCGTCATATGATTTGACATAAATTGGTTTAGATTGTTTCAAACGTCTTTGCGTTCCTCTAAGTGTTGACTTTCTCTCGCTTGGAATCAGCACATTAGGTGGGGCATATACCTGAAATAATATATCATTAACAGACTTCATATTTTTCATTTCAAAAATAATTGAAATATCCGATCAATTACAGGAGACATCTTTAGAATTGAAAAATGGAACTTCGAGAAAATAGGCATGACCCTATCTCATTGAAGACCTTGTCAGTATAATTTTTAATTTATCATTTTAACAAGTAGCACATCTAAATTAAACGACTCCTGGCCTCTACTCTTGAGTATTACAGCTTGTCAGACATGTTATCAATTATTTTGATATAAAATGTATGTGTGCTGCACTTACAGGTCTTGGGTATGGGTTCTGGTAATGTAGAGCTATTTCAACCCTCGCTTCACCCTCCTTTAAGAAGTCCTGAATATCTGCTTCATTTGTCACCTAAATGTAAAACAATATTGTATTGTATAATGTAGTATACTTATCATCCGTTTGAGCATGTAACAATCGTGGGCCATGTATCTGCCATACAAGTGTAGCGTAGCCTTGGCATTACACAGTCCCAGACTGTTATCTTGTTCCAAAGTAGTATCACTTAAACAGTAACAATTGAATAATAAGACAATTACATATGGGGTTATAAGTCCCTACTTAGTCTGTCATAAGTCTTATAGTCAATCAGTAATAAATGTGTCAACTGTCTGGATACACATTATAAATGGAACTATTGCTGTTTATATTAATGAACTGGGGGTTCTAGCCACTTCTAGCAATGGTATCCATGGTGAATAGTGGTTCTAGTCACTTCTAGCAACGGTTACCCGGGACGTATAAGGGTTCTAGCCACTTCTAGCAGCCGTTATCAAGGATGTATAATGGTTCTAGCCACTTCTAGCAATGGTAACCTGGGATGTATAAGGGTTCTAGCCACTTCTAGCTATGGGTACCAATGAGGTATAAGGGTTCTAGCCACTTCTAGCTATGGTTACCAAGGAAGTATAAGGGTTCTAGCCACTTCTAGCTATGGGTACCAATGAAGTATAAGGGTTCTAGCCACTTCTAGCTATGGTTACCAAGGAAGTATAAGGGTTCTAGCCACTTCTAGCTATGGGTACCAATGAAGTATAAGGGTTCTAGCCACTTCTAGCTATGGTTACCAAGGAAGTATAAGGGTTCTAGCCACTTCTAGCTATGGTTTCCAAGGAAGTATAAGGGTTCTAGCCACTTCTAGCTATGGTTACCAAGGAAGTATAAGGGTTCTAGCCACTTCTAGCTATGGTTTCCAAGGAAGTATAAGGGTTCTTGCCACTTCTAGCTATGGGTACCAAGGATGTATGAGGGTTCTAGCCACTTCTAGCAATGGTAACCTGAGATGTATAAGGGTTCTAGCCACTTCTAGCTATGGGTACCAAGGATGTATAAGGGTTCCAGCCACTTCTAGCTATGGGTAACACGTGACCAGAATGGGGGGGGGGCGTGTTACACTTGCAGTTGACATAGGGAACTGGAACTGGCTAGAAGTCACGTGTATCATGTCATGTCAATGGAAGTCAAATGTAAGTGGGAGGGGATAAACATATCTTATTAAACTCCCTAAAGATAAACAGAACAACAAGTTTAAAATTATCTAATCTATTTCAAGAATTATAAAATAATCACATATAATTAGTACAAGTAAGTTTATATAAGTTACATACACAATTGAAATACACCAAGACCAATCAAACACTTAAATCACAGTAAAGTGCCTGTAAAAGGCTAGAAGGAGAGCTTAGCTAATAGGAGCTAGATGATGACTCACTCAAGCTAGATCAGGCTGTTCCCCTATCCAAAACAACAGATAGCCCCTATCTTTCATTAAAAAGGTTATATTTTACGTTCACTGGTAATTTCAGTATACTTCAAATGATGAAACCTTGCTAATTACGTTGATAACATTGATAATTTGATGAGAAATCGAGACGAAATTACATGAAAACACATGGAAATCACTTCAAAAGTTCACATCTCAATTACTGGTCAATTACTGAAACAATTCCATTCAAAGTCACAGAACAATTAAAATATATCATTATAATTACCTTGAACCACAATGCACCACGATTCACCAACGCAAACTGCTATAAATCCAAGAAAATGAGGAGAAAACACAAACTGGTCCACCATGATTGAGAAAATTCCAAAAGACAAAGTAGTGCATAAAATCCCTACGCCAAATCACATGACAAGATGAATCACAGTTCAAAATAAGACAAACTAAAGTTATGTACATATATATAAACATGCATACAATAGAATAGACATACTAAATAACATACATAAGTCAAAGTTATCACAATAAGGCAAGATGATCAATGGACCTATATCCTGTAAGCAGAATTGTATAGAGTGAACAGGCCAAACGTTGCACAAGCGTATGAGTCATAGTGACCTTTACTAAAGTTAACAGACAATTCACAAGGCGATACCCAGTCACTATAGGCTTAGAAAGCAAAGTACAGATGCACTCTGCATCAACTGTAAACAAAACTAGCATTGGCGCTATGTAAGCGCTGACCACAGAATACAAGTACAAGTACAGGACATATATAATACAGTAAAACTCCATACTGGTGAACAGTGAAATTATTAGTTAATGCAGTTGAAACAGTGCAAATAAGAGGCTCAGTAACGGCACATCAGACCAGATAATTACCATTAAAAAGAGTAGACAGACTGATGGGTCGTTACACTGCCCCCTTCTTTAAAATAAGTTCGTCCCGAACTTTTACACACAAGTTACAAATCAAATCACAATCCATAATGCACAAAAGTATTTAAATCAAAGATGATTCATGATCCAAAAGTGACATGATCATACAGTAGTTTACAAGGTTATACACTTACGACTTGCATCACCTGAAAAACATGTCATGACAATATCCATTTGGTTCAAACATTTTTATAAATATCAAGAGTTCAATTTGCACATGTATTTTGTAGTTATAGTAATTAAGATAGTGATCTTCGTAGAATTCTTACGAATGTTTAGTTGCCACTAGTTGTATCCAGAACACTACATAATCAAAAGTTATTATAACTGTTGACACGGTAATGTGTCTATATATTCCTGCATCATATTGCTTCTCTGTATAACAGGGAGAGTCATAAGTTCATATATAGCACGTCAAATACAGTATGAAGATCAGATATGCTTTACAATTCTCCTATAACCCTATGTGTATGGTTACAGAATGTTAACGTCAATGTCTCTCTATGTTGTTGGCTTGTGGTCGACATCTCTAAACCTGGAAGAGAAGCTCCACTCTCGTATCACTGCAATGCAGATATTCCAATCTACAAAAGCTACAACTTCCTCCCATCGTCAGCCAACGAATAATTCTCTTGTATGAGACACGCTACATAGACGTTCATATCTATAATAGCTCATAGGCTCTTCAACCATGGTAACCACACACATATTCAATGTCCGCCTACTTTAAGACTGTGGGACAAGATAAAATAGGCTACAGCTGGGTGACATTGCTGGAAGTTAGGCATTTAGGGACCATTGAGGGATGGAGATAACATTTCACAGTTGGTGCACTGTTTAACTGACAGTTTTCGGCACCATCACAATTATATACACTATGTACAAGGAAACTCTGCCTCAAACATTACGTTCATAATTACTCCAATTGTGTAACGGTTGAGCCTAGGTCATCTACTAGGGCAACAAGGTAACGGTTTGGGTAGACAGTCTTTTCTCATTACTTCAGTTAGTAATCAATAATGGAAAGGATAAATCAATGAGGCACCAGAGACTGTACATTATCCTGACGCCATCATTATCAGAGATGTAAACTTGGGGTTCATTTAGCAACTCTTCGGATCTATGGGAACCATCTTCCCGTGTGGAGGTATCAACATCACTAAAGGGGGGAACGCTAAGGGAAGCTTTATTCAATGTGTCAATATTGATCAATATTTACATGCTATTGGCAATCAGAGACAGTAGGGACAACAGGTAGCACAGGCCACTCAAACCATCTAGCTATAATTAGGGTTCCACTCTTAAGAAACACAACAACCCCGCGGCTTCTCAGGAAATATAAGTCGCCAAGGATACAGGTACACACATAGCAAATGACATTTACTCTCGTAGTAAATGCCACATACATATGTGGTAAATGTCAGCCACATCAGATGGTACATGGATTGTTGACTGATAACACTCCACATAGGGGACTTGTGACAATCAGCCCTCCTTGGAACAAAAGCTGATTGACGCCAGCAAAAGCTATGGCCAGACATGCTCACTTCTGCTGACAGTCCACTATCAACATTTTGGTAACTAATCTTGGCAATACCACTTGCCAAGATCGAGGCAGTAGCTCAAATATCTATCAGACCGTATAAATAACAGATCCCAAATCAGTTCAATGAAAGGGACCACCATTGACACATAAGATGGTTGTATGCATGGTGACCTACTTCTACAAAGTTGCATAGGTTTGCCTGTTGGACTTGATCAGACCAATTAGGTCATCCTTCGGACATTCAATTATCGCTACTCCCATTATCAGTCATATAATGACTATTTCCCAATAGACAACTTTCCTAGTCACCTATATACGAGATGGGACAGGTGCACACAAATATGTTGGGACTGGTTAGAAGTATGATCACTGGGCAGGGGCTTCCTGGACCACCCTACCCAAGTCAATGGCTCTATACTAGTCGGACAGGTTTTGCTGGGGTCTTTTGTTGGAGTAGGCAAAAGAAAAAGTATACCAGACGTTCTGATATGGCTATGGAGATCTCCAGTTGTAGGGAGATATAGTACAACGTTTCCTCATCAACCAGGAAAGCACAAGAGGATCGTACCATCACACACATTTCGGGCAAGTGGAATGTAAGGGGGAGGGGCATATTTGGGTCACTGTATGGGTACGTCTACCCAAGCTATCTCTCGATTATAATCATGCCCAGCACGACCATCATCGAAAGAAACTCACTAACAGGACGAGAACAGGGTACAGGGGACATCCACACCAACACATGCATAATGTATGTGCTTTCAAGACATGACACTGCTAGATGTTCCAGTGGGTCATGATAAGACAGGGTTTTAGAACTGGGATCTACAATTTTGGCTTGGGAAGATTTGATATGTTTGTATGTTAGGTCCCACCTACATACCAAACCAGAGGGTCTGTGGTAAAGATACGTACCACTTCACACTTTGAAGTAGAACAACGGGCTACTTCACCAACCTAAAACGATACAGTCCTGTGGAATGCTACAAGGACCGGGTCTTTGGAACTCTCAAAACGGCAATCCACACGTACCAGTGTGAAAAACAAGATTAAACTAGCATCAAACAACACATTGACACCATAAAACAATTGAAAACAATACTACATTGAAATATTTCCTTAAAATACAAAGTGGGTCTAATTATTAGGTAATAATTAAATCCCGACGCTGCCACCAGTGTAACAATCGTGGGCCATGTATCTGCCATACAAGTGTAGCGTAGCCTTGGCATTACACAGTCCCAGACTGTTATCTTGTTCCAAAGTAGTATCACTTAAACAGTAACAATTGAATAATAAGACAATTACATATGGGGTTATAAGTCCCTACTTAGTCTGTCATAAGTCTTATAGTCAATCAGTAATAAATGTGTCAACTGTCTGGATACACATTATAAATGGAACTATTGCTGTTTATATTAATGAACTGGGGGTTCTAGCCACTTCTAGCAATGGTATCCATGGTGAATAGTGGTTCTAGTCACTTCTAGCAACGGTTACCCGGGACGTATAAGGGTTCTAGCCACTTCTAGCAGCCGTTATCAAGGATGTATAATGGTTCTAGCCACTTCTAGCAATGGTAACCTGGGATGTATAAGGGTTCTAGCCACTTCTAGCTATGGGTACCAATGAGGTATAAGGGTTCTAGCCACTTCTAGCTATGGTTACCAAGGAAGTATAAGGGTTCTAGCCACTTCTAGCTATGGGTACCAATGAAGTATAAGGGTTCTAGCCACTTCTAGCTATGGTTACCAAGGAAGTATAAGGGTTCTAGCCACTTCTAGCTATGGGTACCAATGAAGTATAAGGGTTCTAGCCACTTCTAGCTATGGTTACCAAGGAAGTATAAGGGTTCTAGCCACTTCTAGCTATGGTTTCCAAGGAAGTATAAGGGTTCTAGCCACTTCTAGCTATGGTTACCAAGGAAGTATAAGGGTTCTAGCCACTTCTAGCTATGGTTTCCAAGGAAGTATAAGGGTTCTAGCCACTTCTAGCTATGGGTACCAAGGATGTATGAGGGTTCTAGCCACTTCTAGCAATGGTAACCTGAGATGTATAAGGGTTCTAGCCACTTCTAGCTATGGGTACCAAGGATGTATAAGGGTTCCAGCCACTTCTAGCTATGGGTAACACGTGACCAGAATGGGGGGGGGGGCGTGTTACACTTGCAGTTGACATAGGGAACTGGAACTGGCTAGAAGTCACGTGTATCATGTCATGTCAATGGAAGTCAAATGTAAGTGGGAGGGGATAAACATATCTTATTAAACTCCCTAAAGATAAACAGAACAACAAGTTTAAAATTATCTAATCTATTTCAAGAATTATAAAATAATCACATATAATTAGTACAAGTAAGTTTATATAAGTTACATACACAATTGAAATACACCAAGACCAATCAAACACTTAAATCACAGTAAAGTGCCTGTAAAAGGCTAGAAGGAGAGCTTAGCTAATAGGAGCTAGATGATGACTCACTCAAGCTAGATCAGGCTGTTCCCCTATCCAAAACAACAGATAGCCCCTATCTTTCATTAAAAAGGTTATATTTTACGTTCACTGGTAATTTCAGTATACTTCAAATGATGAAACCTTGCTAATTACGTTGATAACATTGATAATTTGATGAGAAATCGAGACGAAATTACATGAAAACACATGGAAATCACTTCAAAAGTTCACATCTCAATTACTGGTCAATTACTGAAACAATTCCATTCAAAGTCACAGAACAATTAAAATATATCATTATAATTACCTTGAACCACAATGCACCACGATTCACCAACGCAAACTGCTATAAATCCAAGAAAATGAGGAGAAAACACAAACTGGCCCACCATGATTGAGAAAATTCCAAAAGACAAAGTAGTGCATAAAATCCCTACGCCAAATCACATGACAAGATGAATCACAGTTCAAAATAAGACAAACTAAAGTTATGTACATATATATAAACATGCATACAATAGAATAGACATACTAAATAACATACATAAGTCAAAGTTATCACAATAAGGCAAGATGATCAATGGACCTATATCCTGTAAGCAGAATTGTATAGAGTGAACAGGCCAAACGTTGCACAAGCGTATGAGTCATAGTGACCTTTACTAAAGTTAACAGACAATTCACAAGGCGATACCCAGTCACTATAGGCTTAGAAAGCAAAGTACAGATGCACTCTGCATCAACTGTAAACAAAACTAGCATTGGCGCTATGTAAGCGCTGACCACAGAATACAAGTACAAGTACAGGACATATATAATACAGTAAAACTCCATACTGGTGAACAGTGAAATTATTAGTTAATGCAGTTGAAACAGTGCAAATAAGAGGCTCAGTAACGGCACATCAGACCAGATAATTACCATTAAAAAGAGTAGACAGACTGATGGGTCGTTACAAGCAGTACAATATGGAACATCCTTTAAAGTTAAGTGTAGCAAATGCCCTGGTTCGTTTGATTTCTTGTCTGACCTTAATCATCTCTTACTATAACTCCAAATAGTGGAAAACAGTTGCAATACAGAAAGGTAATATAGCAAAATCTTTTAACTTGCAGTTAACCATAACATTTTGATATCCCTTTGAAACCCTAAGACTGAGGCTCTCTTGGTAATTATGATGCTCTAAGCATTCTCAAAAATTGTATCCAATTCAATCTTTAATGTTGACCTATCTGAACTTAATAAAAATTTTCTTGATTGTACTTTTTTAAAAGCACAATAACATAGAATTATAGTACATGTCATGCATGTAGTACCCTCAAATTACTAGAGGGTAAATGATACTTACATTTTTGTTTTTTCTGAAGAGTCTCCTTGCTTCATCTTTGATGTATTCTTGTTCTTGCCACGTTTCATCTGGATTCTGGGCAGTCCATGTTCTTGCTAAGCGGAATATTCTGCGATATAGTGAAAGTACTTCTTTCCGCAATGCCATTGCATCAATTATGTGTTGTCATTATTATTATTATCTTATTGTAAATGCCATATTCAGGAAAGGCAACTGAGTCTGTCTGTTCTGAAAAGACAATACATGTACCCAATTTGATCAATGATACAATTCTACAGGTTGTCAAATAAATATGTTCTCCCCCTTAATTTCAAGAGTATGAAGTTTTATGCATAAAAGTGCATCTACTTGAGCTAGTCATCTGAAACCTCTTTTAGAGTTGCTCCATGAAGTCTAGCCTAGTTTTTATGTACTAAAGAACAATTCAGATTACTTGCGGATAAATAAGTTATGCAACATTATATAGATGTTAAAGTTACAGGGGAGAACATATTTATTTGACAACCTGTATATAAAATTTTCAATTGAATTACAATAATTAATTGAATTGAATAAACATAGAATTGTCCAAAAAGTTGTCCAAATTTTTGATATATGCAATAACATTCGAACCAAGGTGTTCAAAATTTGGACCAAGGTGTTCAGAATTGGACCAAGGTGTTCATACTTGGACCAAGGTGTTCAGAATTGGACCAAGGTGTTCACAATTTGAAGGTAGGTGTTCAACATTTGTAAGTCACTCAGTTTAGGTGTTCCCAGGTTGACAGGGCTCTGCTAGAGTAGATTTCATGGCCTGACTTCGTCGGTAGAACTTGAAAAATAAGATTTATCTGAAGATTAGGAGTCTTACTTACCCTCTAGAGGTTAGAACACTCATTTTAATGAAACCATATCAGCTATGTTTTGTTCATGATGAAGCATAAGCACAGTACTTGATTGAAATTTGTGATAATGCTTTTTGGACTTTTCCATTTTCCTCGTGTTTACTTCCAGGATGGCTTTGCCTCTATCACGAAATACTGTATTGACCTTGAACTTTAATTTTGTGACATATCATCCAACCATGTCTGATGTAAAAATAATTAAAGTGCCCGATAAAGTATAAAATGCGCAGGCGTCCAGGTGTTGATAAACTATAAATAGCGAAAATCCAGGGTTTGTCACCACAAGGTAAGCCAGGACGTGTTGAGAGAACAGCTAGTGTTGATATTGAATTTATATGTAGCCAGATAAGTTTCCTTATTGAAATTACATATGGTTATTAGCAATACTTTGTAGGTGCTAAATAATAAAATATTTAGAGTATATATGAGAGAAATTGGTCATTTCGAACCTGTTGAAAAGTTTGTGGCTCTCGGCTACACCGGGAATTTACTTCCATGAGTACACACATAAATGTGGGGTTCCCCAAGAGGTACGCGACAAGGTGACCTGGCATCAAATGTGCGACTAAATGCTACTATCGAGAAGATAAAATAACGAATAAGACAATAAGTTATTGCATGTGACAATTCCGAGCCTTCATCTCACTGAAGTATTTTGAAGTGAAAATAGGATTTTTGTTTTGATACATGGATTCAGATGAACGTAACTTTATTCTGACAACTAATCAAAACTGAACAAAATTGATTGTACGTAACAGACAATTTATTGTTTTACAATGTTTTGATTGACTAAACGAATGAAACCAACAATTATGACATGTAAAATGACAATTTTGAAATGTAAAATTTAAAAGTGACAAACACAACCTCCCTATCCACTCTTTGGGAGCCCTAGTAAATTAGTAATATGTACATGCAGCAGTGGTAGTGTGCAGCTTATTATCACACTACGCTTTGCATTCTAAAGCCTGTTGTTTGTAATAACACTGTTCACTCAACGTATGTTTTGTGTGTGGGCAGTCAACGATAATCATTGTTTTATCCCGGTTATATGACCTCGGCAATTATAAAAAACGTACTAAACGAAAAAACGCAAATAAGAGAAAGCTTTCACACATATATAAAAAATGAACTAGTCTAATCCGCCAGTATAAACTCTGTGCTATACGTAGCCGGGTCAGGCGCACACTTTAAAGTATTTGAAAATAATGTTTTGTGGTCTCTTCTGCAGACGAGTTTAGGACAGGGCAGAGGAGGGTGGCCTGTTCTAAGATAGAAAAAGTGCATGATCTACAGTTGAACTATTGGTCTGAATGAAATGCTGCGCGGAAAGTATGAATGGGTCGTCAGCTGTATTAGTCTATTAATATTCTAGGACCTGTTTGTGATGCTTTATAATTTAGACCAAAGTGTAGACGAATACACGCATGTGTAAATTATAAAATCAACGAACAAAGATTCAATTTTCACAAATGTTCGGTAATTTATCATATTGAAACTTCCGGAACTTACAAGGAAATCATTCATTTTCACGATCCATAATTTACCTCTTGGATATTGTGCTAAATACTCTATAGTTGACGCAACAAAGGTGATAGAGTTTCATTAAAATGTGTGTTCTAACCTCTAGAGGGTCTTATTTTTCAAGTTCTACCGACGAAGTCAGGCCATGAAATCTACTCTAATAGCTGAGACTTAGGCTAATAGTAATGTCAAAATGGCTCATTTAGATTTAGGCATAAAGTTTTCAAAACATTTAAAGAGGAATTTTTGAAACACTTGAGAGCTCATGAATGTACCCTGCTCAGAATTTTACTTGGGTGGGCGATAATAGGGTAATAATTTTTATGGATGATTTTTCTCGGTAGAAACAATGCCATGCTCATATTGTATCATCATTATGATTCAAGATAGTCTATAATAGCTATATGCAATAAAAAATATGGAATTCAAAGATCTGCTGTCGAACTGATACAATTTATTCTCACCCTTAGAAAATAATTTTCCAAACCGGAAATCAGCTTGGTCAGCTTGCCGGAAATAAAAAATTTGACCTTGACCCCTGTGAAATAAAAATAAAAATGAATATCTTCTACATTTCTGTCTGAAACAGCAGGATGGCTTCTTCTAACACGTTGTAATGGCCTCCCTTACTCCGCAGATTGCTGGGTCTCCTCCAGCGAGAATAAATTCTCAGGTAGGTCTTTTCTTATTTTCAGTTGTTGATCATAAAAGAAATGTGAAAAATCAGTGTGACTGAGAGAATGTCATGATCAGATCTGATGTATTGTCTATGACCATCTAGCCATAGTCCTCTTACAGTCAGACTGTCAGAGGAAGGAATGAGAATGAACATCTTTTATACCTTTAGACTATGACTCTCAATACAATGGCCACTTACCTGTTCATATTTAGAATGCATCCTCACAATGTTGCCTCATTGCCCGAATCTCAATCATCCAAAAATCCAGTGGTCGGAAACCCAATCATCCAAATCCTAATGGTCTGAGTCCAAATGATCTAATTCCCATTAGTCTGAACTCTGAAACCCAATCGTCTGATTCCCAATCGCTCACGTTCATATCCCATTGGTCAATAAATATTCTGTAAAAGAGATCGATCATTGGATCTGAATTTTCTAAATTTTCATAATTGTAGTCATGCCTTCTATGAACTGTGAAGACAATTAGTCAATATTTCACCCGGTATTTATTCGTCGATATAATCATGGGCATTCAATAGAAGGGTAAGCAACTTCCCATATTTCATTCATAAGCATTGTCTTAGGTTTTCAAAATTGGAGAAGAAATGTTTCCTGTACACATTCCAAGGAAAATCTTGTTTTGTGCTTTTCATGTATGATTTTAAGAGATAACCCAAAAATAAAATATTATTATCTGCATACATGTGGAAAATGGAATTCATCATAATTCATCATAATGTTTTTTATTGCAGTCATCTACCTATGCACTCAGTTGGACAGATGACCTCCCAGTATGTCATGAATCAGGAGTTGGATTTTCTACCAATCAGATTTACAGAGAGGATGGACATAGGGTGGAAGAGCATGCATTTGAAGATAGAAGTTTTCATTTCAGGTATATTAAATGTAAAAATTTGTAAACTTAAACATAAAATGATTTCATTTAGCCTAGAGAAAAACATATTAATGGTATCTACTGTATCGTCTAAGTGGTTGAACACTTATAATTTTAAACTCTAAATTCTACATATAGACACACATTTATTTTGTAATTGTACTAATAAATATGTATGCATATTGTTTGTATTTTAGCCTTGAGAATGGTTGCGATCTGTATGGTGTGTTCGATGGCCATGATGGTGTGAGGGCTGCAGACTTTGCCACTCAGCGCATGCCAGCTGAGCTTCTACTAGGGCAGCTTGAGGGAAAGACTGATGAGAATGAAATCAGAGAAATTGTTAGACAGGTAAGGTGCCCTATAGGTAATTGTTTGTTTAAAGAGATATTTAAATTGCAAAATGATTAAAATCCTAAAAAGGTAGAAATGTTTTGAGGCTTTGGAGGCCTTTGGATGTCACGGAGGGCCAATATATTTAATACTGAAACTAAATTATCTCAAAATTTGTTATTTCATATTGATAAATTGTGTAACACTTGATGTGATTTATAATGTTTTATTTAGGCATTTATTAGTGTGGAGAAGGGCTACTTTGAGACTTTGGATGAAGCTCTTGCAGAGAAAGCACATCTTGAGGGCCAGATACCTGAGGTATGATGGCATTAAAAATCTTGTAAACATAATGTCAGTTAAATAATGTAATGAGGAAAAAGTGTATTATGTAAACCTGAGTTCTTTGACAAAATATAATATTTTGGAATAACTTTTTCAGTTGTGATAAAAGAAGATGCAAAACAGTTCAAATTCATTAGATTTGAAAAGAGGTGTCCCCCTTTATCACACCACAGGTGGGATACTGTCATCATGATGGCAGGGCCGCAACATGCTTATGATCATTATCATGATCATGGTGACATCCTACTTTATTGTCATCGTTATTCCAGGAAATCCCGTTTGTTGAATTTTCTTTAAAATACGCATGTTGGAGGGTACCTATTTCTAGAGATGATAAACTCCATCTAGTTTTCTGGCAGCTATTTTAAAGGTTTTTGATAAAACTTGTCATTAGGCACTGGCGTAGTGTCATATAAGCATAAAAACGCCATAGCATACTCTCAAAATTTAGAGAAAAGTTGATTTTTTATATTGAACGAATTGCCCCACACTTTAAAAATACTGGATACTCTGAATATGTTTAGTAAAAACGGCCAATAATTACATTTTATTAATTCCATATTAGTTAAAATTTCATTTTTTTAAAATGCCCCAGAACGTTTCAAATGCAATCTCATTTTACGATGCTAGGAAAACTGCTCATTGGATTGCCTTCAAATTCTTGTACAAACTCTAGAGCTGATTAACCTTTTGACACAAAGATAAGGATCCATTCTTTAATATATTTCTTAGGGTATCACTCCGCAAGATATAGCAGGAGAACAGCCAGAGTTGGCAAATAAACTACAGGCCCTAACAGATCAAATACATGGGGGAACCACAGCTGTATTAGCCCTTATACACAACAAGAAACTCTATGTGGCTAATGTTGGTAGGTATAAGAATATGTTACATGTACTTGACACCAACATTTTTTTTTTCTCTATTGTGTTATTGTCCATTTTCTACAATATGTAGTAATCGAAATATTGATGGTATTTGATTACTTCTGTATGTTAAATACTAGAATATAGCCTATACTGTATTCGTCTTTAATTTGTCGAGCATTTTAAATTGGCAAATTAAAAATTCGCCAAATTAAAAAGTCGCCAAAATCACTGGGAAATTGACATGTTTTTCGTTTGGCACACTTTTGGTTATAAGAAAGCTACCAAGATGGCTTGGCTGTTTAGATCTATAAAAACAACAAAAGATATTGAAGAAAATATAAACAACATATTAAGATATATTGAAGAAACTGATACTGACAATGAGTATCTTGAATTGGGTTGGATGGGAAGATGTATGGGGCACTTGAAAAACCGTCAAATTAAGTAGACGCCAATAGGCCCAAAAACACAAAATCGCCAAATTGAAGACAAATACAGTATATATGTATAAAAATATTCACCGATTCTTTGGTCTTCCTTTGATATTCTTTCTGAATCCAATGATATTGCAACATATCAGTGTAAATAAACAACCTGCAATGAATTTAAATAAGCTGAGTACTTGTTATATTACACTGTAGGTGATAGTCGAGCCCTACTATGTAAAGAGGACAAAGACGGGAGACTGCGTGTGAAACAGCTGAGTGTTGACCACACTGTGGATAACCAAAATGAGTTACAGAGGCTAGCAGACCTAGGGCTGGATGTGGAGAAGATCAGACAGAACCGTCTTATAGGAAAGATGGAGTACACACGTAGTATTGGGGATTATCCTGTGAAAGGTGGATACAAAGAGATTGAATTGTTGAGGTAAAACTGTTATAATTGTATTTTGAGTTTATTTATGAAGAGCACCTTGAGTTATTTTGCAAGGATCATAACATCATAAATATTGATTTTTCCAATATCATCTTGATTTCCCTATAATCACCATTTATTTGATGAATTCACAACAAATACAACTATGTAATTTAAAATGTTCAGCCAAAATAATTCTAATTTGATTTACCTTTTAGTACACTAATTATTAGGGATTTATATATTTCAGTGGTGCTAGTTCTGAACCTGTGATTGAGGAACCTGATATCCTCCAAGATGCAATCTCCTTAGAAGACAGCAGAGGTTTCCTTCTCCTTATGTCAGATGGTTTGTACAAATCTCTGCAGGATGCGACTGGCAGACCTCGTGTCAATGCAGAAATTACCAGCCTTGTGGCCCGGGAATTTGGAATCCAAACGACATTGAATGGTATAGCACAATCCGTTGTGGATAAGGTTGTAAGGATTCATCATGATGCTTTTATGACTGGAACACCCAATCAGAAATCAAAGACACAGAAACGTGATGATATGACATTGCTTGTAAGAAATTTTAACTACCCTCTTCAGGCAATTGGAAGTCCGACCTACCTTCCTGCATCTATGCCCTACCAGGGAAGGACAAATACAAATGAACCCCTACATTTAACTATAGGGGACAGAGAGCCTCCCTCAGTGAATCGGAGCCTGTTCATGCGTACTAATGGAACTACTATATCTTCCACATTAACTGGAACTAATTACACAAACAATAGCACATCATCTAATGAGGACTCAAATCGTGGCAGCGGGGAACAACGATTTTTCTCGAAAAAGCGTAGTTTGCCTCTCGATGAAAAAGGAGAGATAGAGGGTTATGTGGACTTTGGGAATTATTTCAGCGCATTAGAAGCCATGGATCCTACAGAGCGTGAGCAGTTTGAAGAGGAAGTGAAGGTACGGCCAAATTATGAACCAATCAAAGAGGAGCCAGAGAGGTCAGAATCCATTGAAGAAGCTGATGGTTCTGGAGGAGCTCCTGTGCCAGACACTGGGTTTGCTGAGGAACCCAAGACACCAGATGATGAGATAGCTGCCCCATTGACCACTACTAAAATAGAGCCATGAAACTTTGAATAAAGGACACTACATGCCTATTACATTACAGTAGAACCTGTATATCTGAACACATATTTCAGTCCCATTTTTATGTCACCACCAGAAGTTGTGATATATTGTTAGTTTTCAACTGTTTTGTGGCTGGTGTTCGATGGTTGATGATTGGTGTTTGGTGTCTGTAACAGTGTTCAGTGTTTAGCATCTGTAACAAATTACAGGTGGTGACATTTTGCATGCCTTGTTTTAAACTGCATTTTAAACCATTTAAAAAACTGGAATGTGAATACTGGGTATTCCAAATTTGGACAACATGTACTATACTAGATTGTGAGATTCTGGTCGCTACTTAATAAAAGCTAAATGGTCAAGGAATCAACCTTACATTTTCTGGTTTTGACAATGTTTTTTCAAAAATGTAACTTTTTAATATGTGTAGATTAGATACTACATAGTACATGTAGTTTTATGTACTTTATATCTGCTATATGTGTAACACATGTGTAACCAACAAAATATAAACATTTTATACACAAAATTACATGTTTTTAAAATCCTTCCATTACCTGTTTAATGGTAGAATCAGATAATTTTCAAAAGCAACTTAACCTTTTTTAAAGAACTTGATTTCATGATTCTCTATTTTAAGATATTTATAGATCAGATTTGCTTTTATGGAAGTTTGAATATTGAATAAAATCTATCTACTGAGGAAGAAAAAACAAAAGGGACCAACAGCAATTTTGATTGGATAGTTGGTTTTCAATCAAAGGGTTAAAGCCTACTATCACTCATTCAAAAATGAAAACAATTGAAAACTTAATTGTTTACAAGTATTTTCGTCATGGCTTGTATAAAATTACACAGAAACGATGCATTTCAGTATGTAAACATAATTAGTTAAAAATTAACTAAAAAATATTTTTAATTCAAAAATGACGTTTGTAGTCCACACTGAGGGCTCGTATAACCCACACATGAGACTACTAGTAGTCTCAGCCCAAACCTAGTGTTTTCGCGTGCAATGACTGCAAATAGTCTAAAAGGTTGATTTGGTGCCTAGACATTCATTTTCTACATGTTAGAAATACAGTAAAACATGTGTAAGTAAAACACCTTTGGTACCTATAATAGTATTTCTCTTACAGAGATCCATTTACAAACAGCGACTACCGGAGTAACCCACTGTTTTATGATCAACTCATTTAAATATGAATGGAATAGTGGCAGGTACTATACATATTAAAATGAGTTGCCAATAAAACAGTAAGTTAATCCGGTAGCCGACAGGCGTTCGCGAATACAAGGTTAGTCAATAGGTTATGGGACTAAAAAAATGTTGCCCTAACGGAGGTGTTCCATTTATAGAGGTGTTCCACTTTACAGGTTTTACTGCAATGTGTTTTCCCGTTTTTGAGTCAACACAATGATACCACACATTCTCAGATTATGCCGCACATATTTGAAAAAACGTAAAACACAATTGTTGGTGCAATGTGAACTTTCGCTTACATTTTCACACGCATGCAGTTTAAAAGGAATAAACATAAATCTATCTTTTGTTTGTAAAATCAGGTCTATTGTTGGACTTTGACATTACACTAACACTACACGCTTGTTTTACCTACATTGATAGGACAGAATTCCGCGTCCTTGTATTACTGGTCTTCTAAATCACTACAGGTAAGAAGTATTCTGCTACTGGACAGTGTCGATTGTATTGTTAATCGCAAGACACCTTTAATTTCAAATTGTAGTTATTTCTATATATTTTATTTCTAATTATCATTGCAAATATGAAACATTTATAAATCTCCCAGCGGTGTATGAATGTTCATAGTAATATTTACAGTGTGACACAAGATATTTATAGAATTCCCGAGAATGATTTCTGGTTTAAGATGGACCGTTGGAGTGGAAGAGTTGCTCTTGTTACGGGAGCGAGCAGTGGTATTGGAGCTGCTGTCTCTGAAGATCTCGTCAAAGCTGGGGTGAATGTCATTGGGTGTGCAAGACGTGTCGACAAAATACAGGTTCGTTGAAAATGAAGTTACAGAAAACTCCAGGAACTTCTTTATTAATAAGTATTCTTAAATATCTCATATACATACTTGACCTGCACACAATGATAATAGCAGGTTACCGATTTTTTATCAATTTTAGCCTAGTAGGTAATGAAGCAAGTGAAAACCTGTAACTGTGTTCATGTTGGATAGACTTATTTGTCTTTAGACCAATCATTGGGTAATCTTTAGCGTAAGTTTATGACTGTAAATGGCTATTAAAATGGTTTATCATCCGAAATATCTGAACAACATCTTAATAGTGAAGTTTCAAATTAGTTCTGGTAGCTTCCTGGTACACTTCTTTGCAGGCATTAGCTGACAAACTAAAAGGTGAAAAGGGGAGCTTGACTGCTATGAAATGTGACCTTAATAACGAAGATGAGATCAAAGCCATGTTTGAGGTTATCAACAAGGACCACGGAGGTGCAGATATCTGCATAAATAACGCTGGTATTGGCAACTATGCTCCCTTATTGGAAAGCGAGACCAACAGATGGAAGCAGATGCTCGATGTGAGTCGCCTGAACAATGTTACTTTTGTTGTTTCGTGTTGTGAAAATAAGAGGGGTTGGGGTAGAGGACGGACGTAATTTAGAAGTGGCTTGAAATTGGTTCTCAATTTTTAAACATCCACCATTGATTGACTGATAACTGCAGTTCCCGTAATTTTATTTGCAGTTGAATATTCTTGCACTGTGCATCTGTACCCGCGAAGCTGTAAAAGGAATGAGAGCACGGGGGGTGGATGACGGACACGTTATACATGTAGCCAGGTAATGAAATATAGGTTTCTTAGTAGGTGTCTTTTAGGCAGAGAAGGAACGAACGTTTCCCATGAATGAGAGTCCTCAAAATAATTATCCAACGCAAACTTAATTAAAGAGTTTGCAAGGTATATCTGGGAAAATTTGAAACTGTTACATCTTATTTTACCAAACTAACATGCACTTTCATGTGGAAAGTAGATTACTTAACGCCTTTTCTGACCAAAAACTAAAATAAACTAAAAACCTATATAAAAATGTAATTAGGAACTCATGTCAATGTCAGCCTATTAAGAGACGGAACACCAACCTCTTTATATTGAACATTTATTTGTAGTATGGATGCACATCGCATGTATTCCGACCCCGCCGAGCACTTCTATGCAGCTACCAAACAAATGGTGAAAGCCCTACTGGAAGGACATAGGAACGAACTGAGGACATTGAAGTCTCATATTAGAGTTTCGGTAATCATTTTATGTTGTTTAAAATGAAATTAATTAATATTTGAGTATCATTTTGAATTACAACTGAATGTTCATTGAAAAACGTGTCGCTGAAATAAATGATATGATTGATTGCAGACCTGCAAACTTATCGTTTTTACATATGTGACCTTTAAGATTTTATCAACGGTTTTTTGCGGAACTTAACCTTGGTTTTAGTTATTGTATTGAACACGATGTAATGAGCTTGAAAAATATGAAAAGTGATCAATATGACATACTTAACTTAGAATGTTAAGTACGTTTTTTCATGAAGATTAATACAACAATTTAAGCACACCATTGAAAAGATATCATTGACAAAATCATTACAGAAACGTACCCTTTTAAAAATGTTTATCGAAAAACAATATTTAATCTTAGTCTACCGTTTTAAAAATCTACTGGTAAAAATAACCGAATTTGAGAAAAATCGACCACAGAACTACCGTATTTAAAGAATAACATATTTCACATTTTTGTGACAGGCATGTCAATGTTAGGATAGAGGCTCTTAGAATCACTGATATAGTTCTATATTGTGCAGGTATCTATACAATTCAACGGACTTTTAATGAACTTTTGTAGGAGGTATGTCCTGCAATGACTGAAACAGAATTCGTTCTACAGGGAGGGCCAGAAGGAATGTTTGATGACCAGTACTCAAAATACAAGGTGAGCCTTGAAACTAAAATTCATTCACAAGTTACTGATTCAGCTTTCTACATTTGAATTGTTTAAATTAATCACATAACTCTAAGTGATTCTTTCATTTCTTATTTGTCATTTCAAATACCATATTTCAATGCTACAAAAATAATGAAACACTTTACATGAATGACTATACATTGAATATTCATCTCCGATTCATTGTCTTCTCTCTTTGTTACTATTGCCCCATATCAGCATATGAATTTGTAAAAAATGAGAAATCTGAATATTGAATACAAAGATCTATAACTTCTTTTCTTGATTCTGGTAATGATCTTTTGGTGTCATATCAGGTTCTGGAAGCCAGAGATATATCAGCTGCAATCCTTTACATGTTGTCTCAACCAGCACATGTCCAGGTATGGAAATACAAAGTATTGAAATAATATTGTCTTCATTATTTCATTTCTAATCTGAGGAAAAACAATCAGCTGTTCCAACTATTGAAATCATATGAAATTCATAAAATTGGACAGTGCAAATAGCCATCTTGACGTGACCTTTTTAGCACATGGTTCTAGTAAGGGATACACACAAAGCTATTTTATATATTATGAGGCATATATGTCATTTAGAGTTCAACAAATTGATAATTATTGTCAAACTTTAGGCACATGTTACTTTTGTTTTGATTTACAAATTATCTTGAAAATGCAGTCGAAGTCTAGAATTAGATACATGTATTTAATGTGTTATATTGAATTAAAAATACATGTATTGTTAATATTTGTTCTTTTGTTTTAATTCTAGGTTCATGATGTCCTTGTGAGACCTACAGAACAGGTGCTCTAGATACGCTAGGTGACGCATGTTAAGCACATTGCATAGTCAACAAATTAAGATGGGACTCTAAAATAAAGAATTATAGGCATTTGGATATATTCATGCATTCTTCTTAGGCCCAGCCTTTTCAATAATAAAGAAAACATTGATAGTAAGAGGCTCTGGGACATTTTTTGACACAGTCATCTTCTACTTCTAGGTAGTCTAAAGAAGTGTCGATGAAATCTCAACTAATTTGAGTCCTTCACAAGTGTACGTAAATAAAACATCATAAGTAAATATTTTAAAAAACAAATTTATTAACAAATAAAAGTAACAATTTTCATAAGATTTACGCTATGTACATGTGTGATATGTGTTGTACAACAGACATAATAACAAGGCATTAACATGCAAATTGTCACCACCTGTCATTTGTTACAGATGCCAACCACCAAATGCTGACCATCAAACACCAATTGCCAAACACTGTCCACAAAAATGTCGGAGACTTTAACAATATGTCACCATTTCTAGTGGTGACATAAAAATGAAAATATTTCAGTAAAATCTGTCCCATGGAACATTCACTACTGGTAGTTATTAAACAAACTGTGTCCCATTCACTTTCAGGTCCATGTACCCTCTCTGTGAGGAACATGAATACCTATTTACAAGGAACATTTTGGCCAGTTGGGAGGTATATCCACAAATACATGTTTTACTGTAATATTATCCACTACTCTGTTAATTCTAGATTACTTTCTTTTTACTTTTCTTATTTTTTCTTAGTCTTATTTTCCTTTTTGACTTTGTCCTAAATAGCGACTCATATAGTATCACTTCTATAAAATAAGGAAAGTGAAATGTGATTTTTCATCAAAATGATGATCATGTTTAATAATGTTCAAAATGAAAACACAAGGACCAGTATCCCAAGCATATTAATGATAATATGGATGTTCCAAATATATGCATTATGAAGCATTTACAACATGTATATCTCTTAAAAGTCTTCAACTTTTCATTTTTTCAATCAATTACTCAATATTTCAAGATTGAAGTATCAAAATTGTTATGCACTATATGCAAATCATTAATTTAATTAACATTTACACATTTGGCCCGTATCCAGTTTTTGCCAAGGATGGGGTTCACTTTTCAAAATATTCCAAAAAATCTTCTCTTGAAATAGACCACAACCGCCCCTTTTAGTTAACCTGGTCCCTGATATGCAGATGTAAACATATCTGTTCTTGTATCTGATATATTCCATGCACATGTTCATTACAGAATATCAAGGTTAAATACTGTATAACCATTGTTTTAATGGTTTATTTAGTGAATTGGCTGTTCATTACAGAATATCAAGGTTAAATACTGTATAACCATTGTTTTAATGGTTTATTAAGTGAATTGGCCCTTTCAAATATTTTTTGAAAATGTTCAACTCAATAGATTGGATACATTTTTAATGTAGGCAGATAAGCAAAGCGAAAACCTATTACTCTGAAACAAGTAGAAGTTTTGCAGTGTTCAAGTTATACTGTACATGTATGTTTCTATTGTTTCACTTTAACAGGATTGAACTTCATCAATTGTGTAATAAGTAAAAAAAATCCAAGTTCTTTAATACTACTAGTAAGTCTTGTTATGGATAGTGTCCAGTTGACAGTTGTAGAAAAACAGTTAATTTTGTTTGGATGGCAAACCAACATTTCTTTATATGGCAGATATATGGGGGACTAAGAGGGGTCAAACCAGAACAAAATAATGTAATTTCCCCAACTTTTGACATTTGGACACCATCCCATAAAGTTATGAATTTAAAGTGATAAATATGAAAAAAATAAACTCATTTTAAAAAGCACTCCAACACAATTATTTTGTGTTGTAAACCTTCAAAGTCCACTTTTTAATCTCAAACATATCTGGTTTCTCTTAGTCTGACAGTCGACATATAAATATATTAGCAGCCAAAATTCTAAACTCAGCACTGTAGCTTTAAAAAGATGACAACCCATTTGTACTGTACACTGTAGTTTGTACATGTACCTTGATAATCTTTGCTATACTATATTGATCTTTTATATACTCTCGGTTATGGTAAATCTTAAATCATCTCTGATACAATTATAAAATACCCGTCAAATCCTGCATAGATATTGTATTCAAATTAATAAATAAAAATACTTATTGAACGTCTTCCCCCACAAAAAAAAATACTAGTTATGACTGTTCACTTTTATTGAAATACAGTAAAACATGTCTAACCCAAATGCCACTGGAACTGGACAAAAGTGTTCAGATTGGCAGGTGTTCACATCTCAAGGTTTTTTAACATGGTTATCTGAAATAAGTGTTTACATTGAGAAGCGTTCAGAATAAAAAGGTTTTACTGCAGTCCATTTACTCACAGACAATTTATAGTTGGAGTTCACCAGTGAACAGCTCTAGCTTGCCAAATGGAATTTCAGGGCAATTACAATGTTCTTTTCCTAAATTGGCTGAAAAAATCAACTTGTATGTATCAAAAAAAAACAGGAATGACACTCAGCTCAAACCCTGGCAGTAAACAGATTATACTGGTTTTTTAAGAACTGTGAAATTACTAAAATCTGCCAGATGTAGATGTACACAGTGGTCCCAAATCTAATGAGACCAGATGGAATGATCGGCCATAGCACCATGGAGAGCATCATATATATCACATTTGTTTTCATCCCGCTTTTAAGAGATATCCATTCATTATGCAGAATATGCCTGAAATACATAATTTCAACATAAGAGTAAATTGCAATCTCCCACCTGTCACCATCTGTCCATTGGTCAACAATAGTGACACTTTTTTGAATTATTCATTTTACATCTAAAAAATGGTTCAGAAAAATCTCAATGAAAGTGTTATACAAGACCAGGTCTCTTACAATGGATTCAATTCAATACATTAGCTAGTTGTTACTGAGAGAAAATGTATAATGCACTTACTTTCTTTTGAAATCGGACGATCGAAACAAAATATACAGGGTCTGGGCCTCATTAGCTGTCAATGCAATACAATGTGTGATAGTGATGACAGCAGCAAGTGTGTTTGTTGCGATGAAAGACTTCGCAAAGACTGCAATCAACATGTACGGGACAGCAAGGCAGCCCCATAGAACTTCAATCCAACCTATCACCCCAAGTGGCTCAAACTGCAATCAAATTAAAACATATTTTGAATTGTCACAATTTTGGTAAATCTAGAATTATTTGGCTCATCCTATCTATTCTTACCTGTTTTCTATTAAGCAAAAACAAAAAACTTCTTTAATGTGTCATTATTTTGAGAAATTTGAACATTATTACGTCTCTAAATCTATTTCAATATTATCATGAGCTTAGCCAGGCACGGTCTGCTCAAGATATTTATTCACATGAGACAGAAGTCCAACTGTAGTCTCGTAATACACATTTTCCTCGTGTATTTACATTTGTCTCTTGCCCACTTTTAGATCCTGGCTTTGCATTATCAATTATTTTTCATATGTTAATTTGGAATTGTAAAAACAAATATTTTAATTTTTCAAGAACAGATTATAGCTAGATTATTCAATATAACAAACCTGATGGGTATAAAGGTTAACTTCAGTTACATTAAATCCCCCAATGACTGTGTACTTCATAAAAGGGAGGAACATGTCACTGTACTTCCAGAATGCCAATAAGGCGAGAGAAAATCTGGGGCAATCTGGAACAAAATCAATATATAGCTCTACAAAATAGTTTTATGAAATGCCTGGTCTCAAAAATATGTACATGACAGGCTGTCAGCTTAACTGATTCTAAATTCTTCTTTTTCGCAATATTTTCGGATTTTCAGAATCAAAGTAAAATGAATCAATCACTGGTGCATAAAATAATCATGGAGACAAGCTATCAATAGCCATAGAGAGTAATAAATGATCCAAATCTAAAGTCAGTAATGGCATATTTTCAATGTCCCTTTTAAGCTGTCATACCAAATTTTAAGTTGCCATACCAAACCAAATTCCAACTTAATTTAGATGTTCACATTTAAACAGTACCACTATCAAAAAAAAACATTTTAAGGCTCACAATACTGAGAAAACTTACAAGGAATCCAGATCATCAATAGATGGCACCGCCAGGAAAACATTTGCTGAAAAGATAAGTATAAAATTAGCAGGGAATGAAATGAACAGGAAAATCCAAAATGAGCTTTTTATTTTTTGCTATATATTGGTGAATTCCTACCACCTTTGAGAAAATTCAAAATAACTTGAAAATTGTATCCTCATTATACAAGGACAGATTGCCTTTTCATGAATATGGTTCCAAGACCTGGTTTCGTTCTGGAATTTGCACTAAACCTATAAAAAAGTACTAACCCGGTAATCCCAAAAATCTGTCGGAATGTCAGGTCCAAAGTCCCGATGAGCATACAGTGATGTCATAAAGACTCGAAGATGGACTGGGTTCTCCATTCCAAACACTGTTTTCAAGTCTTCTTCATTTAGGTGTTTCAATAGTGAACCATCTAGAAATGATAAAATATGTTGTATCCAACATTAACCAATATTGATATCTACAAGGTAATAAAACGAGAAACGATCTGACATTGGGTTTATCTCACGATAAAAAATTCAAATTCAGCCGCATATAAGGCTGATAAACAATTTTTTGAATAATATGACTAAATCTCCATTATAGCACTAGCTGTCATTGTACAGATTGTGGGATGAACTTATATATCTAAGCAGAATCGTACCAATCTGATTTGTCTTAAATGCTTCCCCATACAATTTAGGAGCCCAGGGACCTAGGCCTTCGAGCCAACTCTGAACATCGTCCACAGTCCATTTATTTACTGGGTTCTCTGATATCTTCTCTGTCGATTGGCTTACCCAGTAGACAACTAAAAATATTGCAAGTAAGATCACTATGGCTGCACCAGTCAATGTCAGACACTGTTTGCAAAATGTGATTCCATCATCAATAGCTTGTTGGTTAATGTTAATATTTTGATTTATGCGTTGCTCAGCTAGGGGCTGGAACTGCATAAGCCCCTGTTCGTGTTGCCTTTGATGTTGATATGCACTTTGTTTCAAAAGTTCATCAAATTTCTTCACAGCAGTTTGGTTTGTAGGATCAGTATCAATTTCTGCAATTCTGTGCTTTAAGTCATCTGGATGTGATCGGCTTATTGTGGATCTAGAACATAGTAAAATATTGTAAATTACAATAAGAAAGAACTATTGCAATTGACAAAGTAATAAGGCTGCATTTATAAATCATATAAACTGCTAGGAATTTTTTAATTAAACAAAACATAACAACATGTGTATAGATTTGTGGACATGACACCTACATGTATATGGGTATATATTTGACCACATTTAAAAATGTAAATAAAAAATGCTGACTCCTTGAAAGTTTAACACAATATGACACTTGCTGAACCATAATTTGTCTCATATGCACAAACTTAATATATAAGGGCCTTATGTGTCTTTCAGGCTTATTGTACAAACAAAATTGTTATCTTTTCTCCAAATTGGAGTGTCTTTACTCTAATTGGTGTTCATCGCCAGCTCTTATATTTGACTTAGGGAGTCAGGATCAAACAAAAAATACAGGGGAGGTTGCACAATTGTCAGTATACAGTCTGTATTTGTAGATATATGAGGGGAGCATAAAATTCAATACAAATGTCTAAAAATAAATATGATTATAATCTACAAACCTAAGTGCGACATTAACCTTAGGATGTCCCCTCCACACTTGGTTGCACATTGGGCATATTGTTTTACGTGACTGGAGGATAGACTTGGCCAAACAACAGCGGCAGAAGCTATGGCCACAGTTCAGTGTTGTGGGTTGTACCATCAACTCATAGCAGACAGCGCAGACAAGTTCATCCTCTATTGTGTCCTCAACATCCTCCCAGTTGTCATCTTCTTCATTCTTTGTGCCATCTTGATTCATGTTTGCTTCAGCCATCTTCTGAAAAATATAGTAGCCGGGACAGAACAAGTCATACAACTCCTTAATAACTTTTTCAATTCTCAATAATTTTTCTTGAAATTTTAACTGGATAAACTTCAAAGCATTCCTGACACACAGGTACAAAATCTTTTGTTTAACTCAAAATTAATTGGTGAACCTCCTGTAGGTCTCATTCAGAAATCACCAGATATTTCGAAGACTACTCCAAAATTTTTGCCAAAACCACCTTTTTATTTCTTGCTAGAAAATGTCCACTCGGGGATAAAGACATGTACTGATTAGTGGCATGCATGTAGCCAGGAATAAAAAGCGATGAGGCGAATAATATCCTAAATGGCGGCTATGTAACCTAGTCAGAAATATAAATGTATTAAAATAAGAACTTAGTTCGATGATGGTAATCAAAGAACACGATGATAATCCTTACATGATGAGATTTATGCACATATAAATACAAAATTGATAACTTAAGATTCAACATCAACAGAACTTATACAATTAATTTACAACTTCATTGATAGAGGAATATTTCTCAAGTCAAAGGATGTTAAAAAGTGACGAGACGAACACCTTGACTGCCTCATCCTGGCAACGCTACAGCTGATCGACACAAATGCAGCTGATAACTTTCACGAATGGAGGATGAAGGTGTAGGGAACATTTGGAGATAAAAAGTAAGCAGCTGAACTCAGTATTTCTTACTTCCTGCGAAAGCTCTCGAAGTGAGTAAAGTATTTCAGTTTCAGCCGTCACGATTCTCCCGTGGCCTAGATCTATAGGCGAGTAAAGGCTTTTCTATCAGATCAGTAAGCCTAGACAATTTATAACTTATCATGAGCTTATGTGAAACATTGAGAAAAATAATAACCAGTGAATCACAGAACCATTTTAGTTTCGTTTTAAATTGCAAGCTCGATGATGTCATGCTTTCGTTTTGACTGAATGAATTTATTCAAAAATTAAAAAAAAACACCGAGCAAATTATATTCGTTGCTGTTTTCACATGTAAAAGTTCTTTGTTAGAGATATATATTTTGGTATATCAAGTAAGGAATCTTACCTTCACTCTAGCTGACACTGTTCATCCTCTTTTGATCCAACAAATGTAAAAAATGTAGATTGTAAACTTTGATCTTGAATATTTCTGTTTCTTTTTCAACCCGGAAGTAACTACAAGCACTGCGAAATTGTAGGAGTGAAAGCTCAACATAAAATGTATGGCTTGCCAATCGTGTGCCTTGATATGTATTGTAGAAATACCATGGTACTAAATACAGGTCCAAGAACAACAGTTCACCCCCCCCCCCACACACACACACACACTGTGTACCATAGAAGAAATCACTTAAGTCGTTGCCATGGTAACCATTTTTGCCTAAAATCTGTATATCATGCCAATATTGGTGATTCAGGCAAACCATGATTTCCATGATTTATTACTATGCTACTTATGTTACAAGTGTTTTAAGTCCCATAATGTGTTGCCATAGTAACATACATATCTTAAATCTTCGGACATATCTATGCATAGAGCTGGTGTAACAGTTGTATTGTATCAGTCTAAACTTCTGAGATACATGTAACTTCTTTCTCCTCGTCTATGTTACAAAAAATCATACATGTCTGAAGTGTAACAATTGCTACAGATGCCGAAAAAGTTGAAAGCTGTGACAATATGTCAACACTTCTTGGTGGTGCTATAAAAACATATCGTTTGCAGTTTTTTCACAAAATTGTGCTGAGATTTGGATACTGTAGAAAATGGTTATTTGAAGGTCAGCATGATGAAAATTTTATTGAGCTTTCATGTAATTATAATTAGCAATAATAACTCTTCAGAGACTCCATGTAGTGCATCAGGCTCTGAATAAGAAAAATGAATATAGTTTTGATGTTGATAAGACCTAACTGAACCCCATAATCAGCTATCCTTGTCTTGAAAGATTCATAAAAAATGCATGCTATTTTGATTGGGAAGCTGGAAGTCATATTCCCAGTATTTTGATTGGGCAAGGCTAGATTAAAAAGTTATCTCTAACTGTTTAGGCAAAGCTCTCTTTTAATAAACAAAGTCAAACTGTTCGAAGGGTAATCAATAATTCTTGAAACAGATGTACATGTATGGGGATATTCACTCCATGGTAGTTCAAAATCAATTTTTTCAATTCATTCTAAAATATTTTAAATTTTTTATAAAAAAGGCCCTTATTAGAAATTCTGTATACTACAGTCCCACCATGTACACCACTGGTGTTTTCACTACTTCAAGAATGTTTCACAATACAAATATGGCTGGTTACACATTCAAACACAGAATGCTGTCCAAAAGAAACACACATTAAGTTGATTCTATAATATTTATTTATAAATGCATTGTTACATGTACAATGTATACTGGAATTATAAATACTTTTATATATTTCACGGATCACTGACTAAACTTTAAAATTAAAAGCAAATAAATTACAAGGCCTCGATGGCAAAAGCAAAGCTTGTTTAAAGAACCTTGAGTATCACACTTCATAAAACAATGAAATAAACTATGTATCAAAGAATAACATTTAAAGCTTTTAAAACTTAACTATGGTTTCCAACTGCAATTATTCAGACTATATGCTAACCAATACTCATTTTGCAATTTCTTATCTCTAAAATAAATGAGATGAGAAGGGTAGACTATCAAATCTTGATGGGAGATAATTTTCTTTTTTACACTCTGGATCAGTTTTCCCCTCAAACCTCTTAATACAGAAATCTAAAAGATCCAGAGGTCTCAAGGTTGGCCTCAGAATCTAAAGGTTTTATTGACCACAACAGAGTTGGCAGTTTCTTTATCATTCATCTACTGCATAAATAATAGGCATACATGTAGTAAAGAGTATGAACATTATGAAATTATCAATCAAAAGTTGATTCTCTCCCCTTCAAAGAACAGCAGCTTATATAATACAATATCAATGTATACAATTAATGTATGCATGTGATGTGTACAATAGTTACCTATGTTTATAATAATAATGCGTACAATAGTAATTTGTACATTACTAAATCGACTAATAAAAGTTTCATGAATTCCTAAATTGCACAACTTGAAAAATCTGACAACTTAAAAAGCTGTAAAACATTTTGAAAAGCTTTGCCAGGCCTTTTTTATGAGGCTTATCTTACTGGCCTATTTATCAGAAACTTCGTAAAGTTAAGAATTCAATAATCAATTGTTGTATCCATGGATATAATAATGTCACTTTATTTATAGTTGACCAATGAGAGCAAAAAGAATAATGCTATTTGTCCGAGGGCTTGAATATACCATGAAAAAGGGGAAAAAGTCGGGAATAAGGATGTTGTAACATTTCGGAAATCTGCTGTTTCAAAGTAAATAAATAGTGCATGGGTTATTTTTTATTTGAAAAAAATGTTTCGCTCAAATGATTTTTTCAGTAAAATGTTTTTTGAAGAAGTAAAATAATTTTTCAAAATGATCTTCAAATGACTTCAAATTACATTTTACTAAAGGTACAGGAGCATTATGAAAATATTTTACATATAGCACTTAGGGAGACTGGCAAACTAATGATAACAATAACGAGATAAATGTTCCTTCTTTTATCAAAATAGCTGACCTTTCAAATGGTATATTACAGCCTGACAAATTGTGTCATTCATTTTTAATAAAGAAGTAATAGACTTCCAAGCTCTCATTTGCTCAGCTATTATGGCCAACTATCTCTCTCTAGCTTTAAGCATCACAATTCTAAATAAATCATCTCTTTTTAAAACACAACACCGGTGTAGCCTGCAAAAAGCTTCAATTAAAACTGACTGCAACTAAAACATTGTTTCTAAGTAAAATAAATCACAGATCAAGCCCAATCAGCTAAATATTATCACAAAATATATAATAAAAAACTCTTAATAATATCATAGAGTTTCATGTCCACATTGACTACATCTACCTTTCTACCTTACTACAAGTCATTAACCACTTTATATTTTATCTCTACTTTTACATGTACTCTACATAAAGTTTTCCACTTGTTTGAAATCCAGGTCTGTTATTGCATGTATATCTCTATATCATATTAGTTCTGTACATCTTTATTACATACAGGTACTAATATGGAACCTTAATGTTCATGTACCCCGGGACATGTACTCTCCATATTTCAGTTTTTCTTTTTACAATTTGTAAACATTTTTCATACCAATCGCCCATTTATATTTTGACTAAGTATCATTACCGGTATATAACCTTTGGATTTATACAATATTTACTGGTACATCAAACAGGTACAAAGATCATAACATTCTCAATTGGTCCATTTTCAGCTTTCTGCTTAAATCATTTAGAAACAAGGCATTAACATGACAAAATGTCACCACCTAGTTGCTCACAATATTATGAGTTCAAACTTAATATAAGTCAGATTTGAATTTCTGAGAACTTGTAAAGTCAAATTTGAACTTCTGAAAAGATGTAGATGATTTTGAAAAAAAAATTTGGTCAATTTGAAGCAAGTTGAAAACAGACCTTTTTGACCTTTTTTGACCATGAGAAGGTCATTAAAGGTCAAATGTCAAATCTAAAGTCAGATTTGAATTTCTGAGAACATGTAGATGATTTTGAAAAAAAAAATTAGTCAATTTGAAGCAAGTTGAAAAAAGACCTTTTTGACCTTTTTTGACCTTGAGAAGGTCAAATGTCAAATCTAAAGTCAAATCTAAAGTCATATTTGAATTTCTGAGAACATGTAGAATGTAGATGATTTTGAAAAAAAATTTAGTCAATTTGAAGCAAGATGAAAAAATACCTTTTTGACCTTTTTTGACATTGAGAAGGTCATTGAAGGTCAAATGTCAAATCTAAAGTCAGATTTGAATTTCTGAGAACATGTAAATGATTTTGAAAAAATTTTTTAGTCAATTTGAAGCAAGTTGAAAACAGACCTTTTTTGACCTTGAGAAGGTCAAATGTCAAATCTAAAGTCAGATTTGAATTTCTGAGAACATGTAGATGATTTTGAAAATTTTTTTTAGTCAATTTGAAGCAAGTTGAAAAAAGACCTTTTTGACCTTTTTTGACTCTGAGAAGGTCATTGAAGGTCAAATGTCAAATCTTAAGTCAAATCTAAAGTCAGATTTGAATTTCTGAGAACACGAAGATGATTTTGAAAATTTTTTTTAGTCAATTTGAAGCAAGTTGAAAACAGACCTTTTTGACCTTGAGAAGGTCATTGAAGGTCAAATGTCAAATCTTAAGTCAAATCTTAAGTCAGATTTGAATTTCTGAGAACACGTAGATGATTTTGAAAAAAAAATTTAGTCAATTTGAAGCAAGTTGAAAACAGACCTTTTTTGACCTTGAGAAGGTCATTGAAGGTCAAATGTCAAATCTAAAGTCAGATTTGAATTTCTGAGAACATGTAGATGATTTTGAAAAAAAAATTTAGTCAATTTGAAGCAAGTTGAAAAAAGACCTTTTTGACCTTTTTTGACTTTGAGAAGGTCATTGAAGGTCAAATGTCAAATCTTAAGTCAAATCTAAAGTCAGATTTGAATTTCTGAGAACACGTAGATGATTTTGAAATTTTTTTTTAGTCAATTTGAAGCAAGTTGAAAACAGACCTTTTTGACCTTTTTTGACCTTGAGAAGGTCAAATGTCAAATCTTAAGTCAAATCTTAGGTCAGATTTGAATTTCTGAGAACACGTAGATGATTTTGAAAAAAAAAATTAGTCAATTTGAAGCAAGTTGAAAACAGACCTTTTTGACCTTTTTTGACCTTGAGAAGGTCATTGAAGGTCAAATGTCAAATCTAAAGTCAGATTTGAAGGTCAAATGTCAAATCTAAAGTCAGATTTGAATTTCTGAGAACATGTAGATGATTTTGAAAAAAAATTTAGTCAATGTGAAGCAAGTTGAAAAAAGACCTTTTTGACCTTGAGAAGGTCATTGAAGGTCAAATGTCAAATCTAAAGTCAGATTTGAACTTCTGAGAACATGTAGATGATTTAGAAAAAAATTGAAGTCAGTCTAAACAGTATTTGTTAAGTTATAGGAAGTTGTAAGAAATTGTTACAGACGCCGGACGCCAACCACCAACCACCAACCGCCGGACGCCGTCGCAAAAAAACGGAGACCATAACAATATGTCACCACTTTTGGTGGTGACATAATAACAAAACTGAAACCTGCCCTTCATCTTCTCCAAATAAATTGGTTTCATTACATTGTGCATATTGATTTACATTCCACTGTTGAGGGATTGTCTCAAAACAGCCTAATACATGTACTTTTAAAACATTTTGATACAATCCTAGCTATCATCACTATACTACACAGGCAATATGAATGTGTATGTACACTTTTGAGAAACACTAGATTGACTACATCCTACAAAACTAAACAATATGTATCTATATAATACATATTTTTGGTCAATACATGTACTGTATCAATGTTATGAAGTATTCATTCTTAACAGACAAGTGTTTAACCAAACACATGAATGAACCAGCATACATACTTCTAAAAATATTTCAGGTTTTTATCCTAAAAATATTGCTGGTTTTTAATCCTCAATTGTATAATACTTTTTGTTTAACGGTGGTTTCAAATGAGCCGTATTAAGATTTCGTTTGTAAAACATATACTAGACTTGTATCATATACTGTACTGGTATACTGTGCTCTATAATGAGTACAGGATATCAACCTAAAACAAAGAAATATCACTATTTCCCTTCCTACTTTGTGAAGTTCATGAGATTGATGAAGTTCATGACTCAGGTTAAATATGGTCAAGAGGTGGTTTCATGATTTGATGAAGTGTTCCGTCTGACTGCTTTTCTAGAGTTATGTTCACTACTCTAGTCTAGCAAGTTCACTGGTATACACCCCTATACTCTCCATATCATATAGAACAAAGTAAATTTGCTTCAGGGAGCTTCCCATGACACCAGTAAAGTAATTACTGATAGCTTTTAGAATGATCTGTGCTGCTGTCTGCTTGGGGAATCCACCACTGAAATAAATACAAGGGTTATTATGGGATGTATTACTGTTCAATGGGATGTAATCCTGTGACAATTGTAGCTACATTTGTACATGCAACAGTGATCTCCCCAGCATTAAAGCAAGTCGGTGCAGCACCCATCTGAAAATCCATTTGTACCCACTTGAAAATGAGAAAAAAAATCATGGACATATTTTGGTTTGAATTGTGAAAATGTACCCACCTGAGAAAAAATCCTGGGGAGATACTGTGCAATACACTGTATTTATCATTTTTACAAGCATGAGATATATCATATTCTCACAACATTGTACTGGAAAATGAATGAAAAGATTTTAAAAGTCCAATACTGTATCTTAAAAAAACTATGTCTGGTAAGTTGAAATATGTTTAAATTTTCTAATATTCCTGTATTAAATTACAATTTGATCAGAATTTATAGAAATTCCTCAAAATGCATCAACAAAAACTTAAAATACAACAAAAGTTCTTACGTTTTGTTTTTAAATTAACTCAAAGCCTTATACTATGTTAATATCTGTACCATCATGCATTTTGTTAGTTTACTACAATCAGAAAGCCCATGCTACGATACAATCAAGTACAACACTGGTACAATTGATAGCTATTTTATAGTCATTTAGGAACATGCCATACAGGAATTATTCTTTTTTTGTGGAATGTATGATATCCCTCATCAAAAGCCTGTAGGATGACTGAGTGAGTTTGATTTATATGTACATACATATTGAAATTCAATGAGGAAAATATACTTTTCTTCCGTAATTTCTAAAAGCCTAGAAAAGCCCTAAATACCAACAATAAAGCTTCTTTCAACATCATTTTAGGGATTCAAGGAATGATTGAGATTAACATGCACAATGTCACCACCTGCCATTTGTTACACACACCAAACGAAAGACATCAACCACCATCAAAAATGGAAACCATAAAATTTGTGACAAATTTTGGTGGTGACATAAAAATTGAGTCTATGAAATTTTTAAATAAAGTGTGCAATGATAATATGACCAACTTCAAATGAAGGTGTACACTTCTATGTTAGCAAATTCTTACCGGCCACTTCCAATTGAAGGAAATGCTATAATTCTTAATTTCTTGGTATCTGCTAATTTTAAACAATTTGTGACGGCCTTCTCAAGAGCCTGTTGACAATTTGGTGTACTCCATGTTGGACCATTGACGTGAACCACATATTTAGCAGGAAAATTATGGCCAGGACAGATTGCAGCTGAAAACAAAACCTTATTTTAATACCATGGAAACACAAGTTATAACCACAGCAACTATAATGCTAGGTCACAACAAAGGTCACCTTGGTAACTTGAGGCATGCAGTTTTAGAAAGCTTCTAAAACACCTAAACATGTTAGTTCTATATTCTACACACTGCCATAATATGCCTGCATGTAAGCTTTATTTTTTGAGCTTTGGGAGAGTTACATGCTTCTTGGATACACTGTAGGGGTAAACCTGGAAAATGTAACAGGGCAAAAATATTATTTTGAAAATTCATTATATAGACCTTTTTTGGCCCCCCTTTAAGACCACTAATAATACACCCTGGATTAAACCAAAACCCATTATATGCCACAATGTGAATGTGGCTTTTGATTGGCTGTATGAACATAGATCAATTCTGCACATGAAAATGTCTTTGATAGTTTGTGGACACGGAAAATAAATTTGCAAACTGTATCACATTCTATCTATTATATTAGTATTAATTACTATACAGGAATTCACAATTTTTATTGTCTTTGAATTAAAATCTCACCAACAGCGCCACCTGAATTAACTGAAGGCATTGGATAAAAGCAAACAATGCAACAATAACACCATGCATGCATGCATCAACACTGTTAATAATATATCACCCTGGCCATGCTTACTTAAAATATGAATGTATATTCCTTTATATTCATGACTCACAAGTAAATACAATGGGTTAGAGGAAATAACAAAATCCCCACAAATTTTGTCATTTTCCAAGAAAATTTAATTTCATAAGCATGACACACAAGAAACATTATCAACAGGTTGTGAAACAGAAAACATATAATGCTTTAACAGACTCGCAAGTTCTCATCTTACTTTTCATTATTAACACAAGGAATGGCAATTGACTTGAGGTGTTTCTCATCAGCCAAGGCTAATAGATTTTTGACAGATTTTTCAAGAACTTGTTGAGCATTAGAACTTTCCCAGTCAGGCATATTCACATGAATCACATATTTAGCAGGGAAGTTTCTTCCAAGGCAAATAGCAGCTGAAATAAATTCATGAACATAATACATTGGCAAATGTACTAGAGTATAACAAGAAATACAATGCTTCACAAAATGTTTGAATTCCACTTTAGGAAAAAATATTTGAATTTGAATGCCATATACTTTCAAAGACAGAAATAATTGACTTTCCTGGCATGATTCGCCACAATGAGAATGCTACTAAAATAGACATACATTTATATGTATGTATTATATTTACATTTCATATGTAATTTCTGTACATATAATACAATGTATTGGTAAACAGTAAATAAAAATAGAGACAACAGCCCATATAAACTTACCTCCTGAAATATCTAGATTGCCATTGTTACTCAACAGATCCTTCACTTCCTGAGAAAATTCTTTTCCACCTGCCTTTTCTATTGCAGAACCTGAAAATAATCATGCGCAACACTGTTTCAAAATAAAAAAATTAAAAATATATTTTATGTGTTTTTTTGTGGTCAAACTGTACAAGAGTTACATGACTACAAAGGCAACTGGGATGCTAGGTGTCTTCATAATGGAGAATAGAATAGTAAATCAAGAAACACATTTTAAAGTTTAGTATGGGTACAATTTTAATCCAATATAATGATGGAATATCCAAAATGACTCAAAAATGCTATAAAACATTTTAATCCATCAAATGGTTTGCCTAATAAAATACAAACACAACATTGCGTACAAGACTTTGGAATACATAATCCATAGTAGTGCAGAAAATGTTCCCGGGCCAAGGGAGAAACAAGAGGCAATGTTACTTTATTTATTTACCCCTGTCTGTGCCTAATTTGTTTAAATATACTGACCTACTTCTCCTACCATTGAAAGAGAGGAATTAGTTGGGTGAACAATTGCATCAGCTGCGACTTTGACCAAATCACCCTGCAGAACTGTCAACTGTAATAAAAGAAAAGAATATTCCAGTGAGAAAAAGTTCTAATTTCCAGCCAAACGTACTAAATCACATACCCTAACTAACTCTAACCAAAGTAGAACCAAGACCTATCAGTTCATGACAAAACTTATAAATAATTGAAAAACATCTTTATAATCATAAAACTATATCCAAAGCAAAATATTCTAAAGTCTAAATATTTCTGGTTGAAATATTTCAATAAAAAAGAAGCATTGTCCTTCCCAAGGAATTGAATAATTTAAATAAAACCTTTGACTATATTGACTAACAATGTAAGGAAAGGTTTCCATTAATTGGCAACACCCCTCTTAGATGATTAACTCAAAATGTGAAAACAATTTTGGTCTCTTGTTTTGAAAATTGACGACCTTTGAACATCTCTCATTTGTCTTAAATGCTATACCTTCTGTCCAAGGAACAGCTTCTTCTCTGAGAGGATTGTGAAACCATCTACAGATTTCTTGGTATGTTCAACTACTTTCCCCTGAAATTAATAAATGAATATTACAGTATAATGTATCTGGGATTTAATACTCCCTGTAGAAATCAACTGACATGATTTAATTATCTATAATCTGTTAAGATTCAAATATTTAAAATAAATGTAAAGCACCGAGGGTATTCTCAACACCTAGGAGTAGGTCTATAAACTGTCGAAGATACGCGAAGATTATTAGAAGGTTCACCCTTCAATGCTCTGCATCAATACAAATATATCAATCATTATATTATACATTTGTATTGCACTGATGATATACTTATGACAAGATTCGGTAGCCATTTTGTAGAAAGTAAAATACACTTGATTCATTCATTGAAAAGTAAAGTTAACTTACCTTTGCAGCTTTTGCCTTGGTGGCTTTACTGGCCTTAGAGGTGGGGGAAGGGACAGTTTTAGTAGGTTTTGGACTTTGTGGTGTTGGCTGTGGAACTGCCTTCTTGGGTACACTTTTCTTAACAGGAGTTGATGGTACTGCCTATAAAATATTTCTTTTTATATTATCATTAATATACAAGCATTTGTTTCATCATATGCAACAGTATACTTTGGTACCTTGGCTTTCTATACTTGACTTTCAACACTTTATTCAGAAAAGGTGATCAATTTTTCCTTTTTCCATTTTTTAAATTCATGAATTGTATGCATACATGAATCAAACCCGAAAAAAGGTATCAAATACAATATCTCAAAGCAAACGAGAGGAGGAATGGGTCTCTAAAAACACTTGACAATATCCCAAGTTACTAGACAATTCTTTTAGTTTTACCCCAGCTTGTTTCTTAGCTGCAGGTGTGAGAACAGGAGTGGCACTACTGCCAAGGTTTCCAAATCTTCCTCCCTTCTTCCGCATAAGTAACTCTGGGTGGACATGTGGCAAGACTCCCCCTGCAGCTATTGTTACATTCTTCAGCAACTGTAATACAGAGATCATATCCAGGAGCTACACAATTTCATAACTTACCAGCTTATGTCAGTATGTTGATATAAAGAAATAATGAAGAGTTAAGCTGACTATATTTAAACTATGAACAATTTGACTTCATCTGGCTGGCAAGGTCTGATATTGCCACAAACTCAGGCCCATAGCCAGGATTTGTCAAGGGGGGGGTTCAGTTTTCAAAAATTTCCAGGGAGGGTTCACATTTAACAATTTTGGCCCAAATATGGCTAAAATCACTAGAGAAGTGCTCAAAATGGTGAAAAACTGCATGATTTTGAAAGAATTTTTGGCCAGGGGGGGTTTGAGCCTGAAACTTGTACACAAACATTTTCCATGCAAGAAAAAAGTGTGATAAAACCAAAAGTTACTAATGTCAACACCTACATTTACAAATTAATTGTGTCAAAAATGTATACCTGATGTAATTCCTCATCATTGGCAACTGCAAGTAGGATGTGTCTTGGAGTCACCCTGCCTCTCTTATTGTCTCTGGCAGCATTGCCTGCAAGCTCTAGGACTTCAGCTGGAAACAATGCATGAAGAATATATACTATCAAATAACTAATGAATGAATCTGTAGGAATCCTGGGGAGTTCACTGTATATATAAACCTTGACAGTCATCCTCGACACACATGGGGTACCTTTTTTGACATTGGTATGGCAATGGACCCAAATTTTAGGATCTGGTATGAGAATGTCCCCCAATTTATGACTTTTGAGATATGGCAATGGTTTTTCCACTTTCTGGTATGAGAATGGTCATAAAAAATATATTACATCTCACTTGTGGTATGGCATTGGTCTAGTAGTTACACAAATCCTTAAGGTAAGGGTGCACTTTGGAATTTTTTTGCAATTTTGAAAAGTAAACCACTGAATATTCTAGTTATTCAAACATTCTTAAGAATTATCAACCATCAATTAATAGTCTGGATACACTAATGCAGGCCATCCAACTGTCCCGCAATTTGCTTCAAAAACTTCAAAAAAGTAATCGCCGATACAGCAAAAAAACAAATGCCAAAAAACGAACGCATTTCGTAGTGAATTATCACATGGACACCGTATATGTCACGCATTTTCATCGAAATATTTCATACCTACCCCTTCAATGTGGGCCAAGGTGTTCAGATTTGGGCCAAGGAGTCCAAATTTTGAAGAAAGGTGTTCAACATTTGCAAGTCACTCATGTTTGGTGTTCCCAAGTTGACAGGCCTACTAATGCATCTTTTGTGCAAGAATGAAAGATGTAGATGATGTGTGGAATGAGTTATGTTTATCTGAAAATAGCAGATGGTCATGAAATTTGTGCACCCTGACCTTAAGGATCGCTTTCCTCAAAGCTCCGCCTTCTTATTGGCTTTAGACATTTTGAATGGACTTGGTTTACTCGAGTCTCTAGCCAATTCTTGGCTAGAAGTGATTCCATCTGGAACACCGTGAACTATTGTAAAATCTTAAGCCGTTGTTCAATAAACTTATGTAATATTCTAAAAATCGTTCTGTTAATATTTCATGAATTGAAATGGTAACGGAATGTTATAAAAACCCTTCGACCTGCACCTTCGACCTTCGACCTTCGACGTACAGGGTGTCCAAAAAGCGGGCCAAAAAGAAAGTTATAAAAACCCTTCGACCTGCACCTTTGACTTTTCTTATGAAAATTGTCAAAGTCCAAAAATATTTCTTTGAAAAACGACTAAGTCCAACATCACATAGATTATAAAATTGAACGGAGCTCTGTCCTCGTGGAAAGCTAGCTGTCATCTCTTAAGTTTACATCGGCGGAATACTTTATAGGCCTGGTGACGTCATCACTTTTCGGACAAGATTTCAAAGTTAAATAACAAGTTATTGACGCCATATCCCGTTTTAATATTGATCACACAACAAGACTATAATTGTAACTCAATAAATAAAACAATAATTGATCGCTACTTACTCTAATTTTACTTCGATTCAATCGAATCAAAACCAGGAAGTAATTTCTAATAAGTTCTAAAAAGGGAAACTTCCATTTAAACTACCCGATTGACTACCCGATCAACATCAACAGAATCTTAATTTGATAACATGAAAACGGTATTTCACCCCTGTAACTATACCTAGTACTGCAAACGTTGCTACAATTTAAGATCTTAATGATCTCACTTGTTAACCACAAATCAAGTGTAATAAATGTATAATAACGAGTACACAGCACGTATCAAAAATCAAAAATTCAAAATTTTGGGGTTTGTAGAAAAACCGGGTACCAGGTAGTAAATCCTCCATGCTGGGTTCAAACTTGGTACCCGGTACCCGGTTGAAAAAAAGGGGTACCCCAAAAAACGAAAAATACGAATAAATAACATTATTAGATCATTAGAAAACGTGTAAGATCGGAATTTACAAAAATGTATGTAACTTCCTTCAAAATTGAGCTAGAAGCTTCAAGTAAAAGGCATTTTAAGGCTCTTTTCTTCCTCTATCATCATGGTCATATTTTCATTGCTTATGGGGGGTGCAATCGCACCATTGCCTCCCCTCATGGCTACGCCTATGACATTGTAAGACGATTTGAAAAACATGACAAATCAATCTTACTCTATTTTCAATAGTTCGTATGTTGGTACGTGAATTGTTTTGATTATGATTTAAATCTGTAAATAGCTATCGTTACTTTAGCAGAGAGGTGACGTGTGTTAATTTACATGATGCAACGTGTAAGATTTTGATTATTAATCATAATTTAAGTTATCCCAATTTTCGACAAAACGTCCACTGAAGTGTAAATTGTTACGTCTTACAATGTCATAGGCGTAGCCAGGAGGGTGCGTTAATGCTTTTTATTTGAAGCTTCTAGATCAATTTTGAAGGAAGTTACATACATTTTTGTAAATTCAAAACAAATCTTTCACGTTTTCTAATGATCTAATTATGTTATATATTCGTATTTTCCGTTTTTTGGGTACCCGGTTTTTTCGACCGGGTACCAAGTTTGAACCCAGCATGGAGGATTTACTACTCGGTACCCGGTTTTTTCTACAAACCCAAAATTTTGTTACAATATGACTCTTGCGTGGTCTGAGATCGGCAAAAATAGCTTCTATAATATTTTCTTTTTGGACACCCTGTAAGTCGAAGGTGAAGGTCGAAGGTGCAGGTCGAAGGGTTTTTATAACATTCCAATGGTAACAGCTTGTCTTGTTGATGAGATATTGAACGTTTTCATTTAAAATAGACATCGTCTCATTTTCCATTTTGAAAGCATGCCTTTTTTCCGCTATAGCAATTTAGTCAAGATGGCCACTTATTGTAAAAATTTCCTTCAGTTTTGTTTTAATTCTTTTGTGAATAAATATCCTGCGAAGTTGACCAATTTATGAAATAGGACTGCGTGTAAAGATCAATGAAGGTGAGTTTATTATGTTTACATCAATAAAAATAAGACGGCTCGGCAATTTAAATATGGTAAGACTTGGTGTTATATCTGGATATTTGGTTATTTGGTATGGCATCGGTCCTACATTATATTTTTTGGACATTTGGTATGGCATCTGTCTTACATGTATTTGAACATTTGGTATGGCTTTTGGGAGTTATTTTGGTTGGTAGGTATGGGAACAGATTGGAATTTGACAGATTGGTATGCATTGGGAATATATTGATATCGGGGGGTTCAGCCTAGGCCCCGCCAAATTTTGTATACAGTGAACCCCCGGGTGAAAAATCAACCCCACATTTATGGGTGACATAAAAACAGGGTTTGTAACTATTCTGATTCCCTAAGCCTCAGTTGGGCATCAGCTCCATTTGGTCAAGTGTGGCCCGTGAGTCATGGCCCTCCCCAAGGCTGTAAGATTGTATACTTCTTACCTGTCAAATATTCGATGACAGCAGCCAAATAAATCGGAGCGCCCGATCCGATTCTGTATCGCACAGTCTGCTGTCTCAAATATCTATTCATTCGACCGACGGGAAATAAAACCCCAGCCCTGGCCGACTTGGATAATGTCTTTGCCTTTCGTTTACCTCCCCGGGCTGACATTATAATATGTGTTTGTAAATTTGACAAATGTGGTTTGTTGATGGTTTCAACTTTTCGGCAGGTCTAAACATTTAGCTGTGCCATCATGCAAATGCCCTCCTCACTGATTTTCATTTATACCTAGAATTTTAAATATGTTTATAATTTCCTCCAAATCATTTGTGATTATCAACTCTAAACCTACATATTCATCATAAGGAACTGAATTCAATTCAAATTGTTAAAGTAATGAATAATTGAATATTTTATGATCGTGGAAAAGTAATGGGGTGACTTCAATAAAATAGACAGCCATCAATCAAAATATGAGCGCAATATTTGATGACGTATTTCACAAGATGATTCCGGAAGTTCAAAATATCATTATATTTCTCTTATTTTCTTGGTAAATACTCCTTATATAATTTGTTATTCTACTGTAACCAAATCTTTACTGCACTATGTCTCACTGATTAAAATATATACTGGTTCAATGAGGTATATCTCTTGGGTCAGAATAATTTAGATATATAGCTAATTTCCTTCTTAACAAGTTTCGTTTAGTGTACTTGTAATTCCCGGGAATTAAAATATCAATATGGCATTATAATTAAAAACGTTAACAATACAAATGCAATCGTGCTTTTGAAGACTAATAAAGTATGATGGTAATTGAAGATGATTTAAGATGTAGTAATTAAAGTTACTTTCAAGCACTTTAGACATAGACATGAAATATTTCAAGCAATCATGAATGTGTCTCAAGAAAATGGTTCTTTTAAGTTTTTTGGACGTGACACAAACAGTTCAGCATCGAGGTGTATTGAAAACACATTTAATAGATTAATTCCAGATTAATTTTGTTTGAGGGGCAAGAAAGACGAAAGATAATTTGAAAATAACTTTCTCAATAATTGTCATAATTTTATATTAATCATAACATTCCATGTCATGCTTAACTTAACTGCCTCTAGTCTTTGTTGTCCCTGTTGGATCAAACGAGGGGGCATTTTGTAGGACCTCAATTAGTGGGGCTTTTTGAGCATTACTTGGTCTTTTGAGTCTTATTTTTAAATTATAGTCCAAATTATGAAAAATAGGCCTTAGATTTTCAAGCTCCCAATTTTTGCTTTTGCTCAAATCTTTTTTTCCGTACTACCTCTAAAATAAAAGACATAACAAGGTGTAATAGATTGTTTATTTGTTTTTATTACAACAATTTAATGATATTGCTTTTAAAGTATATCATCATAATATATATTTTTATCATATTTGCATCAATAAACAAAATATACAGGCTACACTTCAGGTTATTTTATCATTGGCAGCCAATGGCAGCCATACTATTTATTGTTTAACTGGTCAAACAATAAACTTTTACACACATGATGAAACGAGATATTTTGAACTGTTTGTGTATCACATTCACGTCCATTGAGGGGCGGGGAATATCACTGAGAAAGTGATATAAACTTACCAGAAATGAAAGCGGGAATGAGTTGACTTTTTAAGCCTATCTATCTCCTCATAAGAAATGGTCACTATACAATATGTAATATCCGAATCCCATTTTCCATAATATCAATATTATCAAGGTTACGTTTAGAATTTCTCGGAGTGCAATTTATCAATACATTTGTCAGTAAACAAATAAAATCAAAGTACTTTTAGTCATAAACAGCTTAATTAATCAATTTTTATTCGATTAATTTTATTTTGACAAATTTATTTTTGGCAAGTAAAGTGTTACGCCATTCGCTTCCAAGCCGGTGCAAAAGAGAATGTTGTACCCCAGTAATCATTGTCCAAGTTTGTATTGATCTCTATCTATTCCTAACTACTAATGATGAGACAAATGGTGAGGAGGGTCACGATTTTTGGACCACAATCGAAGATGCCCGAGTGTGCTTCAATGAATTTGATTGGTTCCTTGAAACACCTTCGGCCATTTTCGTGATATAAACATCGCAGTTCATCGGTTCTCTCCCGATAAAAATAAGTCCACCGTGTATATGAGAACACGAACAATAAATACCAATGCATTAATCTCTGACACGTTTATGAAGTAGTGCAGTATTGTTACCCTGTATTAGGATTTATTGTCAGTGTTTCGATATACAAGGTGTCCATAAAGTCTCTACAATTACAATACAAAGTCTGTCCAAAGTATAGATTTTTGAACACCCTGTATTTACTTGGTGTCCTTATTCGTCTGATTTGCATGATACACATAAAGGATCATTTAGATCCCAACTCAAACTGGGTCAAAAACTCCGGGAGAACAATATGTAAAACCTATTCTCTTTGGCTGGCATTAAATCCATGTATTAACACCACTTCTATTCGCTCTCTCAAATGCATCTGTAGATTGAAATATATATTGTAGAATAGGGTAGATTTGATGCAAGACCCAGAACACCATGGTCAAGGAATTTTCCATTTTAGAAGTATAGAAATATTACTTTGTTTTTGAATTAGGTATCACCTCTTTCTAAATGTCATATCACTCACTAAGTATATCAAAGCTAGAATCAGAGACATTGGGGAGAGAAGTAACCATTTTGAATCCAGCATGCGTCCATTGGCGTTCCAAATAAAAAATGTATCCCTTTGAATAAGGCATGAAGTATGACCGCTTTTTTACAAGAGGACGGTAAAGCATGATACTGTGTCGGACAATATACTAGTCATAGGCCCGGGAACATGTATAAAAATCGAGTCGAATACACCAAGTAAAGAGATCTCTTTGGTTGGTGTATTCGAATCCGGGCCTATGATACTAGATATAGTATTGAATCTCATAATAGAATAGAAGAGGGTTACTCTGTGTCTCTGATTTTACCTTTAAGATGGTCATAATACTGCAAATGTTGTATATAAAATAGATCTCTTGTGTAATCTTTTTTATGACGGCATGAATTGAATTCACCAAATTGTATCTAATTTCTTATGAATTTCACATTTATATATACTATGTATATGCTTTGTGGTATCATCGTTGAAATACTTGTCTACCCAAACATGGGATGTCAAGATTTCTCGCTACTGAATTCCATACAAACAGTTTCAACCTCATTTTCCTATTTCGCTTGATCACAGATATATTGTTCATTGGCCATAATATGAAAGTCAGTCATTTAAAATCACAGATAGATGGCACTTAAACTAACAAGCTGTCTGTTACTTCTTGAGATATATAGATGTCGTCCACGATTCATCCACGGCCATCTCAGTCCACTTTGCTGAATCAACGATCCATTCATCTAAATAAACGGCAAAAGAACCCTATAGTACAATCGTCGGTCCCAACGCTGAATCACTACGTTCTAGGACAGTCGGAGCTTGATGTAACAAGATGGTAGGCACTGAATACATGTACGTCCATCGTTGTTGGGACTTTTCCCCCCGGTTAGCGTTTGAGAATCACAGATAATGTCGCTCAGGCCGAATCCCAATTGAATTACAGACACGCCTGCAGATCCAATTCTGGAATAAAAAGAAATGCCCAATTCAAATCAGTGTAATACTAGTACTCGTATATACATGTATATGATTATGCCAATTCTAGATGGGCATTTTAGAAATTGTAAATCAACTATGGAATATAATCATTGCAAATTTCAAACGTGGATGTTCATAAATATATAACAAATACGACACCATCGTAAATGCATGATATATTATAATAACCTGTCGTACTAATTGTTATGCGTGTGGATTTCGATGCGTAAACATATCAAAATCTATCAAAAAATGTATGTTTTGACATACCAAATGAAAATTTTGCATGAGCTAAAACTAGCATGTTCAATGCAGAAACACCTACTTTTGTGATATATGACTATTTGAAACAAATGGTAAACGTTTTTATCTATGATTTTACAGTCATCCTGCATCAGGAATGTGAGCTTTAGTTGTTTACAGTGGTTGAAAATTCGTATGTTGAAAGAAAGATGGCAGTAGTTGTTTCTATCTGCCTAACCCCTGTGTATTTAAAGTGACCGGGCAAAAAGTGACCGTCTTAGATAATGGCTTTGGACAGTATGACAGTCATGTTGTTGTATGGATCCAATCAGGTCATGGCGTTTGGCATAGCCAAGAGAACAATGTTAAATCGAAGCCAATAAGCCCGCTGGCATTACCTGCTGTTAACAGCACGATCAATAAGTACCATGAGAAAAGTAAATAAAATTATCGAATATGCTAGACATACGAGAATGATTTTTAATTAATAGTAATTTAGAATATATTTGTTCTGAACTACAGCTATAGTCGTATACTGAAGAGTATTGCTAGCCAGGTGTTAATTCTGTGTAGTTATTTCTTTCCAGGTACATGCTGATTTTGAGTTTGTAAATAAAAAATGCAAGAGAGAAACGAGCACCAACAGGGCAGACCTTACAAATTCATGTGAGCATAATTTTCAACTCAATTTTCGAAAATGAAAATTTCATTATCCTTTGGTTGACTGTTGTTTTTAAAACACCGCACCCCCTCCCCAAAACATACACACATGCACACTTGGTTTCTAATTCTAATATCAGCCGGTCTGATCATATGCATTTGGCTTCAGGTGTAAATCTTAAAATGTCACGCCGATATCACATTTCCTGGGGAAATCCAGAGGAAATAAATAAGTTAAAGAAAAAGAATAATGAAGAATGTGTGGAAACTGGAAAAGTACGCATCCTTAAGATTAGCCTTCTTCTGAGCAATCAGCAGACGTGTTCTTGACAAGGACGTGACAATGCCACGAATGCATATCTAATGTGACAACTGTATGCACCGTTGCATAGTAAAACACACGTGTATGCATAATAGCTATGTGTTTCATCAAAGACTACAAATGGTACAATGATATGTTCAGCGTTTTGTCATTAAAATCAATGCAACCGGTATAGCAGCTGGTGAAATTGGGTTGCCTAGCGACGGAACAGATTTTACCTTCGTAATGAAAGGTGGATGGATTATTGTACGGTGTTCAAACGATATTGCATTTCATTAATGTTTTAATTATCTCA